TGCTGCGTGTTCTGCAAAGGGAAGGCCACTGGAGTACCTTATTACAAGGTCGCAAATATCACCTAGTTGTTGGAGTGCAGCATTGTCCAGCCGAAGATTAGTTGGCGCACTCTGTTCACCGTAGAGCGCAAAGCCAGACTTCTGTGCATTCAGAGGTAGCAGCCGCGTGTCACACCATATTGTAGCTTGTCATGATCTTTGTATGGTGTTATTGATGCTGCCACATTTATTAGGGTAAAAAGTGTGGGCTACTTTCAAGCCATCTGCAAACAGGAAGGTTTTCGTGATTGAACGCAGGCGCATAGATCATTTATATGCACTGCATGGAGAAGGAGTTCTAGGACGGGCCTTGGATAACTTCGCCGGTGATATTTCCGAGAAGAGAAGGATGTGAGCCCGTGTCGACAGCTTGGATGCGGTTTGTCAGAAATGAGCCGATTCAGACACGCAACTTGCCTCTTATTCCAAATGGACTCGGTTAATGAAGGAGCGAGGAGTGATGCACTTTGTCAAAGGCTTTGGTGGAATTGAAGTAAAGCGAGACAACCATTTCGTTCACTGAAGACTGAAGAGTCTCCCAGCAAGGTGAGACACCAAACTCAGTAAGCTTAGTCACAAGTGGCATTGCAGCTGTGTAGATCCTCATTGGACGATCTTCTTGAGGACTTCATCGACGTGTTAACGGAGGCAAAGAATGGGCTGACGTTCAAATGAAAAAACGGGAAGCTGGAAAACTCAAAAGTCGTGCCTGAGCACGAAAGTATCGGAGTTTAAAAATCGGCTGGCTAGAAACGTGCGCAAGCCCTTCAACAAGAGCAAGGGACCGGTTTCGCGGAAGACATGATGCATCTTGCATGAGCAGTAACATTAACTGTCTTACAATCCTCTACTAGGACTTTTTGGTTAACAGATGAGACACGAAACGAAACCGTCATGCCGAGCAAGGATACTCAGGATGTGAGATGGATATCCACCGTGCGAAATAAGAGCAGTCAGATTTCAGCGCCTGCCAAGCCCATCGGGTCTGGCAAGGTGGGAAGCCCCGGCAATAAGCTGAAGCAGGGTAGCCTGGAGATCGGGAAGGCCAAACATGGGTTTTCAAGGGGATCAAATGTACGACGGACCAAATTAGCCGCTCACAAGTTTGTCAAACAAGCAAACGACGGCAAAGATGAGGAAAAGGTGGAAGCTCAACAAAAACGCATGTGTCATCAGTTGGTAAAATAAACCACCGCTCGGAAAGGTTCCTCGATCATCATGAAACTGACAGATAGCCTTAATCTCTCATACAGCCTTCAGGATAAGACTGATGAGGTTCTGTAGAAGAACATATATAGAAAACTCAAGCTGGACCACATTAAGCCGTTAGCTGCAACTGAGCTGTCATGCGCTTCCGATCCAAAATCTAGGGACGGTCCACGACTCTTGGGGCTCGCATTCTCCAACCTATGTGACAACGGGGACGTGCTCTTAGCATCCGACGTGCTAAAAGCCGAGGGGGAAATAGGGCTACTATCAGATATTCCACATTCAGAGAGAATAGCTGCAAGGAAACTCTCGGTCAACAGTCATGACGCTTACTTTGGTGGGAGAAACCTAATAATGCAAGGTATACCAGAAACCCAGGCACCGAAAATATTCACTACGATTCTCGTGAGTGAAAGTTTCTTAAAAGTACCCCTAACTTCAAGGGAGTAATAACACAGAGCGTTTCACGGGTGCCCAAAAACGAAGGTGACTCAAGACCGAGACCGACACTCTCACTGGAGGCATTCTAGGTGGACAGAAATTGCCTGCCATCAGGAGTCCACATGTAGCCTGATAGGTCGCAGAATGAGAGGTTGCAACAAAAACAGAAGAACTTGAGCCAGTTGCGCCTCTAGAAGACTACCTGGAGGCAACAAACGAGGGCGCAGCGGAGAACACAGCGCTTGTAGGCGGCACTTAGGTACGCTTACCGCCCCAACACCTGGGGATTCGACCGGCCAAGTGAGAATAAAGAGGGTTCAGGTAATGCATCCAAAGTCGAAGGCATAAACTGCACCATACAAATGCACAAAGTCTACCGAATAAACGAGACGAACTGTGTGAGCTGAATGGGGACACCTATGCTCATCTTGTTAGTGCTACTGAGAAATGAGCTTCTCTCGAAGCGCCAAATTAGTAGCTGGCAGTCGCTAATACCACAATGTTTAACAACGACAGGAGGGCTGGTAGAGCGGTGGGGTAACGCCTTATGTCACCTCTTCCCTCCCGGCCCACCAAGTTGACATTCAAGGATCGGAATGCTTCGAGGGGACCATCCGGTGTAGTATAAGGCTGCCAAAGACTGTAAAGTGCTTGGTGACGGTCATTTACGGGAGCCATCTGCTGACTTACAATGTGAAGATTGGATGCTAGAGGCAATTAGTCGCTCTCTTTAACTGGGGCACTGTCATACATACTAATTTTGGGCGACTTTAACCCACCGAAGTTTAAATTTGCAGATCTCATGGTTAACTGGGGTGATGATTCCATTGAAGCCCGATTCTTCAGTCTCATTGGGGAACTGGGGCTTAGGGAAAATGTAGGGGCGGGGGGACGATTGACTGAGACTTAAGCTCCATCTTGCTTGGATTGCATCTTCGCAGAAGAGTTCTTAGTTGAAAATAGCAATCCTTCATCCTTTAGGCAGGAAAGAACACTTTGTTATTGGCTTCCAGTTCTGCGAAACCAATCTAACCAGACCCTTCAATGACCATCGTTGGGACTTCAGATGGCTTAACGCTACGGCTCTTCGAATCGCACTAGAGGAGACAGACTGGAAAGTTAACCATGCATGGCAGGATATGAACACCCACTGGAGATTCATACCAGACATGATCATGCAGGTAATCAGCCAGTCTGTTCCACTTTCAAGACTAAAGTACTTCAAGTTGCCTAAGGTAGTAAGGAACTACACTCATAAACTACGTAGGTTAAAGAGACACCACTGGGCCGAACACAGAAGGATTGGCACCGAATACACTTACAGACAATTCAAACAGATGAGAAGCACATGTATGAAGGCATTCAGAGCTGATCAGCAGAAACATCAAGTCAGGCTTACAAACATGTTTGTTTCTGACCCAAAAAGTCTGTTCCACTATGCTGCTTCATTCCAGCAGGCTGAAGTGGGAGTGCCTCAACTACTACGTACCAGCAAACTAAATAGTAACGACACTGAAGCAGCTGGGTTGCTGGCCGACCGGTATTTGCAAATATTTTGTCATCGCCCACCAACTCAGGAGTTCACAAATATCCCAATGACGAAGTAGGACTCTCGGTTGTCAACGTAAGCCCTGAGCTAGTACAGCGCAAACTGCTACTGCTCACAAAGGGCACCTCTCTAGGACCAGATAAAATTCATGAGGTGGTACTGTGGGGTAGAGCTTCAATCTAGCTTGCACCTTTCAGTGAGTTATTTAAAAATTCTCTAAGTCGCAAGAAAGTACCTGACCCTCGAAAGTTGGCCCATATAACACTAATCTTCAAAGGAGGCCAACGAACCAATCCAACGAAACACAAACCAGTGAAACCTCTATCTATACCTTCCTAAGTGATGGAATCGTTAATCTGCGGTGGACTAAGGGATTACCCCACAAAGGTCAACTTCTTTGCACCCCAACAACATGGATTCTGAAAAGGGTACTCCTGCATTACCAATCTGCTCACTGCAGTAGATAGATGGACTAGCACTGTTGGCCGGCGAGGATGAATCGCTGTTATCTGCCCAGATTCTGATAAGACGTTTGATCATGTTAATCACGACTGGCTTATTGATAAATTGAAATTAATCGGGGTTCAACCATCACTCGTTGACTGGTTGTCTTTATATCCACGAGGTCGTTCATTTAGAGTTCAAGTGAGTCTGTTCTCATCTTAGTGGCGTTCGCTAAGATTCGATACCACGGCCTCTCCATCTTCTAATATACGCAAGTGACTCACCTCAACGGGTTTCCTCCGAAATCCTTCTCTCTGCCCGTGACGTGAAACTATGGGGAGGAATGGAAAGTGAAGTAGACAGAGTTTCCCTTCCGGAAGACTCAACTCAACTTCAAAACTGGGCAGTCAATAACAGGTGCATTTAATCCTGAGAAATGCAAGGTGATACATGTAAAACATGATGCATCTCATGTATATGGCCTCAACGGTATGGAACGTGAAGCGTCGCTGACAGGGAAGGATTTGGGTGTTTTGTTCCCTTAAAACTTAAAATCCTATGCCAACTGTGACAGAAACGCACTTCGAGGAAACTTGGCGTTAGTTATTCTAAGATGAATTTTCGGGCGATTCGATCGCAAATGCTTCCAAGAAACTTTCAACAGCATCTTACGGCCTGATTTAGAGTTCGGGGCCGTCGTCTTCCCCTCTCCCTCCAGAAGGACAAATTAAGCTTAGAACTCATCCAGAAGGGCTCGAGAAAATCAGTCAGAAAACTTAGGTTCACAACGTATGCGGAACGACTTGTTGCACTGGATGTGAATCTCTTGAAATATGGAAGGGTAAGAGGAGACTTGATAGTGACTGACAACACCCTGCCACCCACTCCGTCACTTATTCAATCTTAGCTGTAGCACTAATCTTAGAGGACACACAGAAACCAAGCCTGCAACATAGCACGTTAGATGTCAGGCGCAACTTTTGTTCCCTAAGAGTTGTTAAGCTCTGTAACGCTCGTTCCGCAGACGTGATTCGTGTTATTTCGTTTGAATCCTTTAAACGCCGACTATATGCTTACCTGACAAGTGGCTGTGATCTTGCCAGAACTTATCCAATTTCCACTCAACAACAGCCACTTTTTCTTCTTTCCTAACCTGTAAACAAGTTACCAATCACCAGAATCAGTGATCTACGGATTTTAAGTGTGGAAGCCAGTTAAGCGAAAGCCTTTCCATTCCTTCAAAGACCATTTGAGCAAAATTTGCGCATTTATTGAACCATACGGTGACAGCGGTATTTTAATTGTCCGTCCGTGAATTATGCTTGCTGTTCACTCGGAGCGGGACGGTACATTGGAAGAGGATCGTAAAGATAATAGTCAAAGCACAATATACAAAAAAATTGAACTCGGTCAGTTGACTCCACACAATATTAAGCAATTTCGATTGATCAATCAAACAGTTTTTCCAGTGACGTATACAGAGAAATTTTATAGTGATGTACTTAAAAACAGCAATATGTGCAGACTTGCCTACTTCAACGATATTGTTGTTGGTGCTGTTAGCTACCGAATAGAAAATGTTGTAGTTAGAAGTCCTGATGCGGCAGATGAATGTTCTGGTCAAATCAGTCAGACTGTAAAGAAGTGCTATATTATGACTTTAGGATGCCTTGCACCGTACAGAGGCTATGGTGTGGGAACTTTGATGCTGAAGCACGTCATTAAATGCTGTCAGAAGCACGGAGGAATTAAAAGCATATACTTACATGTTCATGTAGACAATGAAGGAGCTGTTGCATTCTATAAACGTTTTGGCTTTGAAATCACTGGTGAAGTAAATGATTACTATAGACGCATACAACCTCAAACCGCTTATGTGCTTGAAAGATGTCTATCTGCTACAGAAGAGTCAGAGACAGATCCGGACTCTGAGTGAACTTATGTTATGATGTAAATATATTTTTGTGCACTTCGCAAAACTAATTAACAACACTTTGTCTACACTTTTGGTTCCCAAGTCCTTTTGATTCATTGTATTAGTTACTATTTAATATGGGTTTCTCCGTACATAACTTTAACACGGTGACAAAATATGTTCTTCAATGGGCAGTATCAATTGAGATTTCGAATACGGATCTCTTTTGATCAGTAACCCTCCAACTGTAGTATTATGGTTGGTCCTGAGTGGATATCCACAACTAAATCTTAGTATACTGATGCATCGTTTTATACTTTTAGTTGACGCTAGTTGTTTGACAACAATGTGTACCGTAGATCTCTCCCGATAACTCGAAGGTATTAGTGGCTGTGGGGATTTGGTGATGTCTTACATGTGTTGAGATGTGCAGCTGCATTTTCTCCGTCCAAACATCCAAGTTTTAATCATGCTTCCAGTTCGAAATCTGCATCATGTTAGCATAGGAAAAGCAACCTAGCTCACACCACATGGAACTAATAACCTACTAGGTTTTAGATTACTTCGTTGGTTTATACTGCCGTGACTATTATCATAGTGTCATTATTATCATAGTGACAATACTACGAGTTTTTCTTCCTCAGTTAACGTTCTTATCCATGCTATCAGTGTAAGCATACCAGTTTTATTTCCTTCACCCTACCCTATTTAGTTTTTGTTCGCAAGGCACACTCAATGAGTATTAGTCGAGTTATGTAAATCTGCACGATTTGGTGTGGACAATTATCTTGGGCATTCCGTTTTTGACAACTGGTTTCAAATCTCACCCATCCACTTTAACCGGTGATTATCATAGACTTTCGTGTAAGGAGTTTCTCTAAAAGCCTCGTAAGCAAGCGCTTGTACTTTTTCATAGTATACTACCTGTACTGGATTTATTTGCACTGTACTCCATGTAATTTTGTTTTTGCATTTAGCGAGTGTTCTGATTGGAATTAAGCTTTTAATTTGAAAAAGACCACCCTCGTCCACTAAACGGGCCTAAGATAAGATTGGTATTCATTTATTCAGCTGGGCAGAAGTGTTTTCTAACACGTAATTCACTAGTTTTACATTCGTTCATGTGAACTGTCAGCATCTTATCACTCACTTATCCTTTCCACATGTGTACTTGTGAAGTGTGTGCATCTTAGGTGTCACACTGTATAGGTATTCTGTAAATCTGTGGATTTCAGAGCTCAGGGAATTTAGGAAATTCCATTCAGTTTATGCAGTCTGAAATCTCTAGAAAGACTACAGTAGTGAGTCATTGATATAATTCTCGTATGTCTAAACATATTCTTTGGAGTATTGATTCTGAAACCCTAGTTTGAAAGTATGTCATAAATCCGAGGATAGAAAAAATTGATTAGTCTTATTGAAGTAACTGTAAATTGCGCTAAGGTGGACTAACTATTTAGGAGGATAGGCTTAAACGCTTAAATTAGATTTTACTCATCATATACAGTCATAATAAGAAAACTGTTATGAAAATAAGGGCTTCTGTTTCCGTTCGTCATTGAAAGATGTGTCGTAATTGGGAATGTGCACACAAATCTAGGGAGGTTAGCCGTCTGCCTTTCATAAAGTTTCCCAATATTAATTATTCAAAACTTTCAGCATCACTAGAAGTCGTAAGTGGTCACACTTGTATTTCATAATGATCCAACGAACTACAGTGACTGAAGGGCTTGTTCCTTGAGGTCCTACCGTAGCAGAAAGGTTATTTGGATAGTAATAAGGCATCTGAATTGTTGAGTACCAAGGATGCCCACTGTCATCGCTTTTGTTCAACTTTCTTACAGATATAATTATGAACATAACCTTATGTACTTGCTGCTTCGGTGTCTCATTCATTATGTAACTGCATAATGAGCAACCAAAGAATAGCTGTAGGCCAGTTGACTTGTTCTTCCCAGTCGTCTCCCTTTGCAAGTGAAAAGTAGACGCATCATCCTCCGTGATCTTATTAACGATTGGATTTGCCATCTTAGTTTACTTTTTTCTGAGTACCAACCTACTGTCACTACTACCTTCTTCATCTCTTTTTCTTTTGCTGCTCACTACTGTTCACCGTCAATGTGTAGATTCGTTGTCACTTTAAATTTGAGTTACTTTGACTCCATTGTTGTTTTCAGAACCTACAACAATGCGTTCACTTCCCTACATCACTCCATAAGAAGCCACCGAAATTAACTGGTTCTTTTACTGGTAGTCGATTACAGCCAAAATGTGAACCTTTTCTTCGAAACAAACATCATTTAAACGACCATGTGGAGTAAGGCCTCAAGCGGATGGCCCTAGGCTTTGCAGTCACACAGAACTAATCAGTTTATCTGTTACGTACCATGAGAAGGCATCAAATTTCATATTGTGGTTAGAAATGATGTTTTAAACGTACTTGCTCCGTCTACAGCACATGGAACTATACGACCATAATCTTTTTGCTTTTTTTAATTCACTACCTTTTCTCATTGTCAACACTATACTTCCTCGGTTTCGTTATGTTTTTACTCCGAGGTCGGTCAGAAAAATCCAAGCCAGTAAATCACTGTTTCTAATCTTCTTAATCGTGCTACCAACTTCTTGTTGAAGTTTTTAGCGTCTAAACACTGCAGAATCAGGCAACAGCCCTCCCTAGTCAGGACTTGTAGCATCTTAGCATGACTGTGCACACAATGACCGGTTGTAGTTATTTGCTTTGTCAATTTGTGGATTCCACCGTATGGATTTCGGTTGGCAGTCTTCATGAACTCGCTAGCGTAAGAATATAACTGAGTTTTGAGACAGAAAGCTCGTTGTTGGCGGTCATCTGTGTGCTGTCTAGGTGAGTGGACATGTAATTACTAGAAGGGATCGTGCCACTTTTGTGTGTATTTAGGTTTTCCACCTACGCCTTGAACGATGTAAAAGATTAGATTGACCATAAGCTATCAATGTTGTTGTAAAAGGTAAAATGGTGAAATACAATTATTTTAGCGGATGCTGAAGCATGGAGGTTGGGCCAGTAAAAAATTCATCCAGAATTTATCTATGGATTTCCATTTGGTTGGAAAGACAACGATGATTGTCTTCTACAGTTTTGCTCTGATAATTGCCTATTACCAGCCAGCACTAACGTATACAATAAAAGGCATTTTAGCTAACGTCAGACAAGTCATACCGTTATCTACTCGAATTCCAGTGATATATTCAAATGGACATAGACAACAAGCATCTGTAAAACGTTTGTGTGCTTAGCCGGAAAACGAAAATATCAATTTTCGTTACAAGCGGTCCTTAATCCAGACTATTCGATAGAAGCAACTTAATCAAATTTAGCGAAATATCAGACCTCTGAAACCTCATCCTATGTAATCTATGCAAAAAGAGTCATTCCAGTTAGTTTGGATCAAAGTGAGAAGTGCAAGCAGCTTAAGTGTACACTGACTTAAGTCATTGTGACTGCTCAGGTAAACATGTGGATTTAGCTGTAATATAAAAATCAAAGCTTTATATCCTACCTGACTGATGTAGATCAGTGACCATTCTAGCCCATAAGAAGTCTTTCTGTGATAACTAGAGAGGGGTCCGTTGAACTAAGATAGTGTCATTCAACGCGTAATTCTAGTTTGAGTACGTAAATCTTATGGAAACCAGTCACGCTTCAAACTTGAATGACGGTTCATCCAAAGACTGACTTACTACGCGGAGGGCACCTGGCTGACGCAGGATACGTAAACTTGTTTGATGAAGGCACCAACATAATGCAGTCTTCTGGGCACCTCGAGTAAGCATCCGAGTATGTTCGATATGCTTAAAGTGATGGTTGAAGACTAGTCTGAACCAACTCCTAGTTTAAAATGAAAAGTAAAGCTGTTATTCGGAATTTTGCATCAATTCTATTAAGCTGGTTTATAATGAAATCTCTGCACGGATATACAAAGTGTATTTGGTGTTTGCTATCTTCGTTGTGAGTGGATTATTCGATTATGTACGAAAGAACGAAAATACTAAGCATTGGTTCGCATCGTCGTTCTGTATGACTGAGACATAGCTGTCGGAAGTGGAAGATATGAGTAGGCTATACGTTTCCAATCATATATATCGACCCAGCATTTTTTGGGTGGAAAGCATTGGATAAATTTGTTTGCTTCAGCGTCAATATTGGTCTGGAATTGATCGTCAATCAGTGGGTCAAAGGTTTAAATGTCGCTCTGCCTACTTAGGTCTTCGCAGCCGGGTAGTGAACACAATCTTTGAAACAATGTATGGTTCACAGTCCAGTCGAAATGCACTCAGCAACCTTGTGTACATTCGTGCAGTTGGCAACCTGCCACATCTGTTGTGTGTGAGCTCATGATACCATCCATATCTCCAGGCCTCCGTAAAGGGAGCAATATTCAAACTCGCGACCGTCAACAGCCTAAACCAGTAAGTCGCAGTTCTGCATTGTAGTCCAGAATATGGATTAGGCTGTTGCATAACAAATATTTGATGTACCACAGTGATAGAGTATTCGGGCTGAATGACGATTTTTTTATTCTACCATTGGAACATGAGAAATCCTGAGTAGCATTCTTCATAAAACAGGACTAGAGTGACAATAAAACTGTAAATCCACTCACAGACCAGCTTTTTCACTTCAAGGTTTTTATTAAACCAATCTAGGAGAGTGATACAACTTACTGGATACCAGGTTATGACCAGTTGGATTGTGAAAGTATGGAAATTTAGCTAAGTTCAAAATTAACCCCTGCAAAATGGGTAGTCAACAGAAAATCTGAGTCGTTGCAGTAGGTGCAGTTACACACTAGAATGGCTTGGAGTAAATGTTGATATAATAAGAGAGGTTGGTAATTAAATGTTCATTCATCAAATCAGTATGTAATACATACAATAGGAAAGATTCGACGCCAATCATTTATTAATAAGGGGTTTCGCTATGGCTGAAATCAAGGTTGAACCTCGCACACAGGTGCATCGTTCCTAGTTACCACATTACACAGTAGTATGAAAAGAAAAAAACTGATGTTGAAATAGACAAAGGTGTATCTGGGACTTCAAGACCATTGGAAATGTTCAACCTTCAGAGGACGTCAAAGAGTGCACATATCTACACCACTGACTGGTTTCGAGGCATTTAACCATGGTCTCCACGGTCCCAACCAAGCAGTCTACACTATCCAGACTAATACTTAGGGACTTCATGCACTGATGCACGTCTTAGTCTGACCACCCTAAGTCTTCTTCCAACTTATCCTAGCACTACACATCGAGGTGGACGGTGACTCAGCGTGTGCAACAAATGTACAAACCACTTCAGTCTCTCAAAGTCTTATCGACCGACTTGCTTGTGTTGCCCAGTACACTTCGCCTGACATTGCTCACACGGTGATTCCACCATACGCGAGAAATGCTATGAAGACACCTGCGGTCAAAAACCTAGTATCTTCAACAACTGACTCAGCCGTATAACAGGACTGAAGGGAATCTAGCGCAGTATACTAGTCCTTAAATAGGTAGTGAGATATCTCACCGGCCCCATAGATGACGTAGATTGGCAGATGCCAAACGGACCTTGCGTATCCGAGGTGAATCCTCGTCAATAACCAGGCCGTTCAGACTGATGCAACTTCCCGAATAACTGAAGTGGTCGACGCATTCCACCACTTCACTCCATATCCATAAACCTGCAGACCAGTTTTGCAGCATCATCTTACATTTGATAAGTGCGAAATGCATGTCAATAGTAGACAGGTGTCCCCTCAATTAGTTCAGAAGACCCTGCGTTTTGTTAGTCTCCACCTAGTGGAACAATACCATCTGCGCACTCCATAGACGAACGGAGACAGCGGACATCCCTGGTGAACAGAACTAGTTGCCAGTTCAGATGAAAACTCTATAAGTTCTTATTTAACTGCATCATTACGAGTAGAGTTCTGACTAGTGTTATGTACTTCTTTCGCGAAGGAAACTACCACGATGGTCACCGGTAGGTCTATGTTCCATAACCTGAAGAAGGGTGAAAATCTAATTGATCTAATCTCTTCCAAGTCTGAGACCTGCTTGGTTATTCCGGGCTTCAACTAGGCGTCGGATAACCGTAGTTCGTTGGGTTTTGGATACAATGTTAGTTAAACTGATTTCCCCATTGTTGTCTCAAGACTCCTCTCCCTCTTTGTATATTGATATGATCAGTGAGATGAGACTATTTCTGATTCACAAGTGCTACGTAGCGCCTCCTAACTTTATCCTTAGAAACTTCTGGTGGCAAACCGTCAGGTCCTATTAGTTTGCATCGTTCCAAAATAGAAACAGCTTTCTCAACTTCGATGAAATTTGGAGGACCGACACCGGTGTAGGCACGGGATTAAGTAGATACCTTTCCGACTGGCTCAGCCTCCTTACTTCACCGTTAAAGTCGCCTGCCATTATTACTATATCTGAATATTTACTTTCTAAAGTAAGGTTGATAGCCTTTCCTAGAATTCATCTTATGCATCATCTGAACTGCAGCCGATGGGTGTGTAGAAAAAATCATGAACAGACATCCTCTAGTCTCCCGAGGCTTCCTAGATTTTACAGATCCACTCAGTCAAACAGCACATAGACAGCTGTTTGCTGGTGAGGTGCTCTTTCGTCTCTACAACCCAATGCTATGTCTACACCAGCAAGTTGACAGCCATTGAACCTCAGGATACTCCTAAGGTGAGTTTTGAAGACTCATTACTATGTCTACATGAGGTAGATTAAATAAACGCACTCGGTCCTGTATACGTGTCTCAGACACAGAGTTTATTCATAGCTACAGAGTTTTAGAGAGTGATGTCTGCTGTTTGGTCTGACATAGGGTTCGGAGGTTGAAAGCTCCAATATAAAGTTCACAGCTGAGTCTTAAGAGACTTGGGTTTCGAAGGCTTTCATTGTTGGGAATGGTCGGGGAGTTAGAGGTTGAAGTAGTAAGAGGCTTAGTATTCGTATTGAGGGTAAAGAAAGAGACGGGTAAAGAGGATAGGTTATGTTTGATAGCATCTTGTATACTATTGAAAGCGTGTGTGTGGTTTACACTCAGCTGGCAACACCATGGGAGTTGTTCCTGCAAGGTGCCTGGAAGAGATTTATGTGACCACAGAGCCCATGGCTGAGGCTTGTCACATACAGTCTTTTTAGAATTTTTGGTTTGCGATATGACTGTCCTGACACCGGATAGAAGCCATACCATCGGTACTAGAAGACAGCAGGGCAGGGAGGATTGTATGAAAGACTTTAAATAACCGATTATATTTGCCACATGACTATGTCTACTTTGATACCGCTCTTTTTGTATCCACCTGTTTTTTTTATACTACTATGGTATGACGACCTGGACAAATGCACGTGTGCCCGGGTTTCTACGTTGATTTTGTCTACCCACCTGTCATACCACACGACTGCTTTTACTTAGATAGGTATGGACAACTCATTGGGCAACAGTTGAAGAATAAACGCTTGAACTACTAGGTCTGAGACCGACAGAACACTATGAACGTGGACTGAACTGAATGTTGCTACGCATTTCATCCTGAGGTGACAATAAACGAATTAGTACAATTAGAGTTTCCATTATCATTTATTGAAAAATAAAAATGAATGATACGATTTATGTACAGTTGAAATACACTAACAAAAATATTCTCATAAGTCCAACTTCTCGTCAACTAAAAACAAAAAATAGACATTTAATCATGAAGCTGTTCACGATACATACGGAGACTAAAATAAAGGGGGAGACGAAAAACAATAAATGATTATTATCAGGTTAAAAGGTAAAAGTAAGAGAAGAAATAAGTACGGTCAGTATTCAAGTAATCGAGTACCCTTAAATCCCGGTTCAGCTTGAATTGGCTCTGAAATAAAGATGAGAGAGGAAGTGTAAGCATTATTTATTATTGAACTCGAACCCAACAGCTATCTGAACTATATTGCTCAGGAAGTCAGAGAACTAAGTACTCCAAAAGAAAAGACAATCCTAATAGCAGATACTCAAAAATAGTAATTCGACAAACGCACCATCTCTGTTTGAGGATTATCAGTAATGTCGTGGAACTCAAACTAAGATAGACAATGTGTCATTTAGGCAGCTTGTGAATTTCGATGTTTCTCTAATTCATATCAGCATTTCGTGGACAAGTAAGTCGAATAGTTAGCCTATGAGCATATGACTTCTGATAGTGCAACCAGAATGCTCCAAGTACCATGGTCAATAACATATTATGGATGGGCTCTAATTATGAAGAAACATCCTGAAGTAAAGGATTATGACAGAAGTATTTTCAGTACTGTACACTGACCTGATAAATACAACTAAAAATGGGGAATTGTTTATTTTTTTTCACCAACCTATTCAACACTGAATCAGTAAAATTGCTTCATTCGAAAATTAGGATGTTTTAACATAACTGGAAGAATTTAACCAGGTTCCCATCTGTATATGTATTAATTCGTACACTACAACCTAGAATATAAATCTTGATGTTGTAAAACTACAGATAAAATTTAGCATATAAAATTATCATTCTAGGATTATAAATTGAATCAACAAACATTGTTTGAATGAAATATCACAATCGGTATAATTTCTAAATTTTAATAAAGGTAAGCACAGACTGCATGGAGATAGGGAAATCACAACAAAGATTGAAAGTAAAAGTAGTAGTATTATTAATGATAAATAACTTTGAATTGTCAGTAAAACTTACCAGTCGCTGATTTGCATGGACTACCTGATTTCGATTTTAGTGTGGTCAATCGTAATGTTCCATTATCAAAACTTGTTCGACTGGGATCCCATGTCGGATCGTCTGTCCACAAATAAAGTATGCTCTTAGAGCAGATCCCTAAATCCAACAATGTTTTCGTATTATCAACGAGTTCTACGCCCTGGAAAAAGCAAGAAATTCCATATAACAGACAAATAAAAATAAAAATTTTAAGAAAATCATCATATTTCGTAACTAAATGTTTGAATGTATTTATAGTAAGTCGAGTCACTTTACCTTAATTATCCCATTTATATCCTGCAGTTGCGATACAGCGAAAACGGAAATATACAATTAATATATAGAATGTACGTAAACTGTCAGAAAGAACGATATGTCATCGAAAGAAATAATAACAGAATATCCTTCAGAAGTGTAATGTGGGTAGGAAATCATTGGTTTTGAAATGTGTGAAGAAATGAATGGTTACGGGTAAATCTTCAAAAACAATGAAAATTATCATCACTTAAAGAACTAGTGAATTTGGTAGGTTAATGCGAAAACTCTCCACATACCTTTACACAAACACAAATCTTCAATAAAGAATCCATATCAAACACCAGCTAATAGCTCACTAGTGTTTTATAGACTATGACTCACTAGGGTTGCTTCAAACGTTGCACGTTGAAACCCTGACTATATATATATATATATATATATATATATATATATATATATATATCGCCAACTTCATATAAGTTTCGGTTTAGCTTAAGAACGCAAATGTATTCGTCAAAATACTATTTTCAAAAAGCTTCAGGAAAGATGATAAATATGGATGATGAACACTTCAGCGTTTAGTGTAGGAGTGATCAACTTACGCATCTCGCCAAGATATCAAACAGAAAATTGAAACAGGTGATTGGGTAGACTTTCTAATAACTGAGCGCTAGCATAATTGCAGCTGTAAAGCGATTCAATTAGTCTTTAGTGTAGCTACGAACTTCTACTACATATGGACCTCATTTTTACACTGTGATGAGTATGTCCAAGCACTTTGCTGCAGACCCATGACTTAGCATCTACGAGAAGATCTATTTCTTCGTTCTACTAGGGTTGTCGAAGAAATGAACACACCAAAAAGTGTAGGGAGATCTAAATCATGTGCATCGACTGAGAAACACAGTATGATTTACTGCAGTGAATAGAACCAGTATTTTTTATAAACCTATATACATCATCTATTTTTGAATATATGAAATTTTTCCAATTTTTAGAAAACAGCTAGTCAGAAAAAGAATTATCATATTAGACTTACGCAAGACATAATATGTTGGTCAGATGGCATGATACCTAATATCTGCATTATTTGGACTTTCATATTAAGCAGAGTATCACTACTGTTGGCTTTGATTAATAAATCTTTTGGATTTAGGCGTTGACGTGTAGAACGTCGAACATAATTTACAGATGAAGACTCTAGATGGTTAGAAGACTGAATATTCGTATTGTCACATAGAATATGATGCATATTTCTTCTCGGTTGTGATCCGGAGATGTTGGCACCTTGGTTGCATTGAATGAAGTTAAGGGTTTCGCACCTTTTTCTGCTCTGGATTGTTCTATGGTGGATCGTTCATTAAAATAACATCGTATTTTGTTTAAATTATCCATTTTCTAAGGAAAATAAAAATGAATTGGCAATCAAAACACTAGGGAAGAATGAAATCCAGGATAAATTACGACAAGCTACCCGACAAAAAGTGATAGCTTCAAGCAGCAGAGCAAATACCAGCTTAGACTTGTTGCTATACCTGACCTTACACTTAACTACATGATACGAAATACTTGATAATTAGGCTACAAGCTAACAAGACTCACTCAGAAATGAGACAATATGCAGTACGATAACGATCATCGCTAACACGGTGTTTCAGACTCGAAGGAGTATACTGTTTAATACAGCCCGACATCACTTTCATATACTAAAAGTGTGACTGAAAGTAGTGCTTACAAGTCAACCAAGGGGAAACTTCTTTGAGTAAAGGCTTATCCGCCCACTGTTGACAATACATGGGGTTCTTTTTTGAAAGTAAAAGTTACAGCTCCTTATCCCCATGCCGTATACCTACCATAAAGCGTTCGAATATTGTAGTTGGAAGTCTGACATACGGTGCAAATACTAATTTTGCATCGACTGTCAAAACCCGTGTTTGCGTTCCACCAACCTGATCAGGATTATCCGGATTTGTATTGATAAATTCGGACTGAGAGCAAGTATTTGTTGTAGCTGCAGAATCCAGTGACATCATTGGATCTGTAACAGAAGAATTGACAGATGCTGACTGTACAGAACTACTCACTGCTTCATCAAGACCAGACACTAGACGTATGCGGATTCTGGCGTTATTGTAGGTCTGATTAATAGTTATTAATTGTGAGTGGCATTCGAGACATAAAGTATTATAAACAGATGGTTCTAAACGCCAACTGGATTCAGAATCGTGCTGTGGCAGTAAGTACATTGTGGGGTAGGTTGTTATTTTCGTTTCCAAGTCACTGAGATCCAAAGGCTCATCGTTCTCCTGTGGGCGATGAGGGTAGGCATGTGAGAGAACGTCCCATTCATATGACGATAAAGGGCACAAAGTTGATTCATCTATTAGCATCTGCCAGGTTTTCAGCATCTATAATTCGTATTGAAAAATAAAAAGAATAAGTCAATGTTTTTAGAACCATAAAAAAGAAAGTGCATCAATACCACAAAATAAAAGTGCACTTTAAGAACTACACACTGCAAAATTTATAAATATACATTTCGAATTAGGAATTCAGTGTGAAATGAGGCAGGAATAAAATATAGGTTAGTATAGGAAACGTATGCGGTGTAGTGCTGTAAACTAATGAAGCTACCGAATGACCATGAAGACACAATTATACCCTAAGACTTCGATATCCCTTAGAGTGACAATGTTAGAATGTTACGTAACTGTCGAAGCTAAGCTAAAGTAGATGGGGTGAAGTTTGAATCTAAGATTTAACAGTTGAGAATAGATACAAATGTGTTGTGTAGTGGAGTTTTTGATTGCAATGTGGCTCAAGTAGTCACTACACGGTAATAATAAGTGGTGATAAAGGATACAAAACGTACAGTGTGACTTATTTGTATATACCAAGATCGTAACTGATATACATAAATTCTCATCTTCTGTTAACTTATAGAATACATTTTTATATTTTTTTGCTTACCTTATCATGTTCACAAAGTACACCATCCGCACTTAGTCCAGATGAAAGTGAGATAGGCATATTCTCAGCTGTTGGATTTTTAATAAATTTTTTCCATTGCATAACAAAATCCATTGGGATTAGGTATATTGCATCAGGATTTGATTCCTTCTCAGTGGAAGTTTTAGAATCTGAATCACGACTGTGTAAGCCTAAATCGGTATCAAGCTTTCTGAAACGAAAAAAGACAATTGATAATTTGTTGACTAATGGTAATTCCAACCAGAAAAACGAGAAATGTGAGTAATTATCAACAGATATAATTTGCATACATCGGTGATGACTGTAAATGAAAGAAAAAATCAGAGTGGTGTTAGTCTGCAACCAGTCACTGTTGAGGTTGTCGATTTGGTGTTCGATAGACCAAGACTCAGTTCCTAATTACACACAAACGGATAATAAAGTTCAATTTGGAGGTTCGTAGGGATCTACTTATTGATTTCAGGTTGATATTCATCATAGACTGACATCACTTGGAGGACAGCTACTTAACAACGGCATTGGATGGAAGTAGTGCTACATCGTAAACTGACAGAAGCAAGAAGTATAGACTATTAGATTCCAACCCGATGGCCTAATGGTAGCGCGGTCGCCACGGAACCTGAGGGCTCTGGGTCCGATCACCGGTAGGGTCATGCATGTGAACCGCTGGGGAGTCCCATTCCAGGACAAAACAGCAGTCCAGTGCTCCCAGGTTCTCGATGTTGCTCTAACTGGTGTCACACTATGATGAATACCAACCTGATAAGAAAGTAATCTTACCAGCTGTCACGTGATTGAAAGCCATACAGCTATTCGCTTTCAACCACATCAGCTCCCATGATATATTTTCTCGATCCAACTAAAATCAAGATGATTTTGAAGTAAGAAGAGCAGCTGGTCGATTACTATCATTACCAAGATAACTTTAGTTGATGACAGATTCAGTCATTCAGAGTTTCGAATAGACACATGAAATGACGTAGGGTCAAGTACACCAAACTTACATCTATAAATCAATCAGGAAGAATGATGTCAATAAAAACATCTTTTCCTTTACAAATTGGAAATCACTTTTCTGAATACTTAAGAAAAATACGTTATTTCCATTCTTTTGTAAAGACGTACTGGAAACAACGTTTGCATACGTACTAAAAAACCTAAGTGCGAGAACAAGAAATCTATCAGAACATGTTCAACATCGGTTACGAATACTCACTTCTTTAACCGAGATATACAAGCAGCAGTAATAGTATTGTGCAAATATGATATTTGGAAAAAGGAATTACCTCTCTTTAGGAGACAACAGGAAAGATTTGTTGACAGTATCTTCTTTCATCTTCATCATAGCTGTTTGACCAGTGAAGTGTAAAAGGCGCATACGCTGAGAAGCTGACAAGAATAAACCAGGAAGCAACTGACGTTCACAAAGTGCTCGTTTAGTCAGGTCAATGTGCAGTGCATTACATTCAGAACAAGGTGACTGCGAACTATTCAATATACTGGAGGAATCGATAACTGTGTTATCATTGTATGGGATGAGAACAGGAAATGTTGGAATATTTGCACCAGGGAATAAATCAATCAACTGATGCCAGAGTATCGCTGGTAGATGGCGTGCATTTTCTGTACAAAGCTGACTGTGAGAACAAAGAATATCATGATTCAATGTTGTCTGTGCATGAAACAGGGTTTGTGAATCAGGATCTTTAGCATTGTCACAATAAAGAGCCCGAGTATATTGGCGTGCAAGGGTTCTCCACTGCCGAAGAGATCTTTTACCGACTAGATAATAACCAGCTTCCAGATCCTGAGATTCTGGTTCAGACTTCAAAGTCAAAGCAATGAAACAAACATACGATAGTCAGAAATTCGGAAAACAAAAACATGAATTGACCGAAATGAAGTGAAAACCATGCATCAGACAAGACTCACCTTTCGTCCACCCATAGAACTTTTTAGCGTTTTGATTTCACTAAATGTTTTGCAAGGAACCGCAACCTTTCATGAAATACATTTATGTGCATTTAGTCACAGGTATTCAGTGTTTGTGTGACAGAATAACCAGACATATTTCGATTACATAATCGTTCATACAAATTGTCTAGCTGAATTAACCACGAAGTTATTATGCCATCACAAATATAAGCTAATTATGCGTGAAAATCAACAAATCAAAATTATACCACACTTACAATTCTACGAGGGGACTACGAAAAACATTCAGTTTTATTTGTAGTCATTACTTCTACAACCTCGCCTAGGTAACTAGTTCACTAGTAACTAGCCGGTTCCAAGCCCCGATAAACAGGGAAGGTTAGGCATAGGGCTAGAAACCGTACCCCGGAAAACAAATCCAACCACTAAAGAAACTTGAAGGCACAAACAAAATGTAAAAAATAAAACCAAACTTATTCCTCACTGGAGTAGGAGAGGCGAAATGACGCCCAATGGTGAAAGCCTTCACCAAGCCAATTGGCCAATGGATCTTCTCATCTCTCGATGACAGCGAAAGTAAACGTGGCGACATGGAATGTCCCAAACAATGTTTGAAGCTGCCTGGCAAGGCTGCCCAGATTGCAAAGGAGATGAGAAGGTATCGCAGTGAAGTGTTAGGCTGGGAATCTGCGAAAGCAGATGGAATGGAAGTGGATTCTCCAAACTCTTAACTGGAGAGTCAATAATCTACTCCGATATTGTCACTCAGACGACAACCATGAGCACACTGAGTTCTCGAGGGGCAATCATGATGTCCCCTTAAAGAGCATCGAAGTCTGTCTCTCATACAGTGGGAATCAATCTCCCACACAATCAGGATCATGACAGCAAGGTTCAACTCAAAAGGAAGGAAAGTCACAATGATTCACTGCTACGCTGTGCGCCTACAAATAATGCAGAGCAAGAGAAAAAGGAGGAATTCTACAGACAACTACAATCAACACTGGACAAGCCCCACCCCAGTTGGCGACATCAAAATTCTAATGGTTGGGGTGACATGAATGCCAAACTGAGAGTGGACAACACAGGAAGAGTAAACTGATCATGGGTTGAGAAGCACTCGGTGAGGTGATGAACGAGAATGGAGAATTGTTTGCAGAATTCTGTGCACTCAACGATTTGGTGATTGGAGTCAGGCACTGTGTTCAAGCACAAGGATATCCACAAAGCGAACCACATGGATTTCACCAGATGATACCAGACACACTAAAAATCAGATCAACTTCATCAGGATGTGAAGAAAGTGGAGACGCAGCCCACTCGACACAAGGTCAGGGAGAGGAGCAGATGTAAGTGGTAAGTGGTTCACACCACTCACTATCTAGTGCAAGGAACCTTCCAAACCAAGTTGAAAGCCAAAATCAAAGAAGTTGGTGATAGATGACCACAGTTCAAGTACAACACTCGGAAATTGAAGCACGAAACTACAAAGAAAGTCTTCACGTTAGTCAGTCATCAAGACAAAATGGGAGACATTGAGTAACATCTCTGAAGAAACCTGTATGGATAAAAACTGGAACTCTTTGAAAGTTACGCGGAAGGAAACCTGCATAACCATATTAGGAAGAAAGAAACAAGACAAGACAAGGAATGGATCTCGATGGACACATGGAAGCTGATAGAGGAGAGGAAGATGGCGAAACAGAAAATAAACCAGTACAAGGATGAGCAACGAAAAGAAGAACTGAGTACAACGTATAAAACATTACACACTGGACAAAGTGAAGAAGAGTGCGCGCAGAGACAAAAGACACTTCTACGACACATTGGCAAGTGAAGCAGAACAGGCTGCAGGGAGGAGAGACAGAGACCTGACAACACTATATCAAATAACCAGGTTACTATATGGGAGGGAAAAGATCAACACAGATGAAACCAATGAAAGATAGTGAGGGAAACTTGTTTACCAAAGAGGAGAAACGAAGGAATCGACCACCACTAGCACCATTTGAAACTAGTCCGGAAATACCACCAGCAGTTCAGCCACAGAATTATCAGTGAAAACAAGCCCTCCGACAAAAGCCGAAGTTCTGAATACCCTAAAGCTGCTGAAATCCAGGAAGGCAGCAGGACCAGATGGAATTCGGCCAGAAGCACTGAAAACAGATTCAGAGACAACAGCGGACATACTCATACCACTGTTGCAGGTCTGGAATGAAGGAAAGGTACCTAGCGATTGGAAGAAGGATTACCTTGTCAAACTCCAAAAGAAGGGAGACCTCAGTCTTTGCAATGACTGGCGAGGAATCATGCTGCTGTCCCCTTTAAGCAAAGTATTAAGCCGCATCATCCAGGAGAGACTAAAAGATGCTCAGGATTCAACTGGATTACGACCAGAACAGGCTGGCTTCAGGAAGAACAAATCACGCGCGGATCAAATTGTAACGCTACGCATCACCATAGAACAGAGCGGAGAATGGCAGTCAACTAACTCTCTACCTCAATTTCATCGACTTTGATGGCATCGACTGAGAAGTAATTTGGCAACTGCTGCTTCAATACTATGATTTCATTGCCACAAACCTTTATCGACCTCATTCAACAGCTATATGAAAACGCCACACGCCAAGTGATTCACAATGGAAAGCTCAGTGACGCCTTTGAAGTGAAGACAGGAGTAAGACAAGGTTGCCGCCTACTATCACCGGTGATCCTCCTAATATTAGTCCACTGGACCATGCAGCAAACTATGAGGAGCGAGGAGATGGACATAGGCTGTCTGGACCGATGAAAAGACCCTAGAAGATTTCGATTTCGCCGATGATGATTTATGTCTAATGTCGCACAAGCTCAGAGATCTACAGGCAAAATGCAACAAGTTGACAGAAAAGGCAGGGCAGCGAAGACAGGACTTCCTTTAGGTGAATGTGGAAAAGACAGAGGTGATGAAGATACCCAACAACAAGCATCAATCGCCATCAACGGAAGAAACCTAAAGGAAGTTGACTCTTTCACCTACCTAGGCAAAATCGTTTCAACTACAGGAGCCGGCAGCGGCATAGATGAGCATGGTCAAAAGCAGGGTCGGAAAGACAGCAAGACAGGTCTCCATTAACCTGAAATCAGTATGGAGATCTACTGCACTCAGTACGAAGAACAAGATCTGGATTTTCAACACCAACGTCAAGTCATTGCTTCTATATGGTTCAGAAACTTGGCGCGCAACGAAAGGCATTTTCAACAAACTACAGACATATATCAATAGCTGCCTCCTACGCTCACTCGATACTGGAGATCAGATGGCGAGAAAGAATAAGCAACAAGGAACTCTGCCAGCGAAATAACCAACAACCCATCGCCCAACAAATAAGCAGAAGGAAGTAGTGGATCAGGTATACACTGAGAAAACCATTCGGAGACATCACACGCCAGGCCAGGCCTCCAAGTGGAATCCAAAGGGGAAACGACGAGTTGGGCGTTCGAGAGTGACAAGAAGATCATATGAGGAAGGAATGAAAGCTTGCGGGCAGTCGTGGAGCCAAGTTGAAAAGACTGCAGAGAACAGAGTGCAATGGAGGAGTGCTAGTGAAGCCCTATGTTCCACTAGGAACCTAAGGGACAAGTAATAAATAATAATAATTACTTCTACAAACAGAAACTTTGAATCTATTAGTTACATTTCCGATAATATTACTGAGCTAAATGACTGAACGTCAAAGTGCACCGTATCAGATGGACAGATCTAAGAAACGTGGATTTCTGAAAACAGGCCTCATTCTTGAAGGAATTCACTTAGAAGACATTGGGAAACCCAAAGGAACTGGTACTCTGTACGCGATGTGAATCCGTTGCTCAGATATTAAAACAACCTGAGTAGCTTATTGGTAACATACTTGATAACGATACTCGTTAACATGAGTTTGAACGACTAATACAACACTAGTTATTTTAAGGTTGCATACGTGACGTGGTGAGAGTATGGGAAGTATACAATTGCTTTGAATAATTTGATAACAAACAAAGTATTTGTCACGATGTACAACCACTTTCAGCTGCAAATCGGTTGGTCGTAATCATTTTCCCTCCCTTCACTTACCTGGGAAGTAGGATCAGCCCTATGGCTCAGTTGCCGATGAAATCTCTGCATGGATACAAAAGGCTCAGCTGGCTTTCGCCAACTTACGCCACCTATGGCGCCGCCGTGATATTCGTTTGTCTATTAAGGGCCGCGTGTACTGCACAGCAGTCCGCTCTGCTCTACTGTATGGCTGTGAAACATGGCCATTAAAGGTGAAAGACATGAGAGGACTTCAAGTGTTTGACCACCGTTGCCTTCGTAGTATAGGACGTATTCCGTGGTGTCACCACGTGAGTAACGCAGAAGTCAGGTGTACAGTTTTAGGGAGTAGAGGTAAATCAGTTGACGAGATTATGAACCTTCATCGACTGAGATGGTTGGGACACGTATTAAGTGTGCCTAGTCGCCGATTGCTTCGTCACACAATGTTGGCCGATGTAGGTTCAGGCTGTAAAAAGGCCCGAGGCGGCCAGACTAAAACATGGCATCAATGTATGAAGTCTCTAACTGTTGGTTTGAGCCATGTGGGGCGATGTAGATTAGCCGGTTGGGCTCTGCGGGACAAGAGGAACCAGTGGTTGGAGACTCTAGGTGATATGGCCCAGAACCAATGTCAGTGGCGCAGTTGTGTACACACATTATCCTCATGTTAACGACGCTACAGCGAATCTCACTATTTTGTCATTCCTCTTTTCTTTCTTCTCGTACTTAATATTTCTTTTGACTGCATTCTCTTATCTTCATCCTTCACCTCACTACCGTTCTACTTGATGTACTGTACTGATTTGTGGCAACCCGGACCGTTACACAGTAATGCCTGGTCCTATGTTGATATTGATTGACTGATTGAATCATTTCCCTTATATTATTCGTATCTCAAAATTACGATAGCTGAACGCACAAACGAAAAAGAAAATTAACTTTCCTAAACATAAATTGCCTTTATACAAAGCTTAGCTGGTACTATTCAAATTGTTTACCTTTTCATCTTCTATACGTTTATTCAATGAAAAAGACAAATGATTAGTTCTGATAAAATAGTCCACTTCTTTCGACAATTCCTTGATTACATTTTCAAGTTTCAGTAGAGCAGCATTTAAGGATATACACTTTTTACATGGTTGAAACTGATCAAATCTGAAAATGATCATCAGACAAAGTTATATTTAGATAGAATATGAGGTAAATGCAGACAAAATATGCTTAAGCTCTTATCTAGCATGTATTCCTTAGGTATTTACTTATTAGTACGCAGTCTACAAATCTAGTCGACAAAAATTGTCACTGTGACCGCATTCATGTTTTTCTCAGAATTCACATAAAGCACATTCTTAGCTAAACAATAGGGTTATTTGTACGTATGGATGGATACGATAATAATTCTACAGAATTAATTGGAAAAAAACTACTGAAAAATGCACTAATGAATGTGATCACGAAAATGTATTCACGTACTTAGCACTTTCAGAAACATCATTGTTAACTGATTCAGGAAAAAGAATTTCAACAAGCTTTTTAAGACCTTCAGTGGAAACAGCTCTATATGAACCTGCAACGAGGTCAGTAGGAAAGCAACCATGTGGACACAAGCGTAGAGAATAGGAGGATTGGTTAGACGAAGGAGGAGGAAATATGTATCCTTTGAGCCTAAGAAGTGTTTGTTCTTGATTTTCATATGAAGAGGTAGACAACGTTGGATCGCGCAGTAATGAAGGATGATTCAGACAATCGGATAACCAAGATGTTGACACCAAAGAAACTCCGGAGAGAGGACTCTTTGTTATTGAACTACATTCGTTTAACAGTGAACTGGGAGGATCGGGTAGTTTCAATTCTGAGAGCAGGTTGAGCAACTGATTTTTACGATTAACCTGTCACAGAGAAAATTCATCATAAAAAAAGATAGTTATTTCGGTTGACTGAACAGCACATCACTGGAGAATGTTACTGTTGAGAAACCTGAAATTCCCGCATACTTTCATTCATAGCATTAGTGTTCAAAAGGAAGAAAAAATATTGACATTATGTTGCATATCTAACACACATACTGGCTACAGAAGTAGTTTATACAGTCATAAAAATTACTTTGTAAAAATGGTTGGTTCAAGTTTATAATACAGTACACCGTGAAATCGACTGGTTGTATGCTAGCTGAAATCGATAATTATATTAAGAGTAAAATGAGAAAATTTGGTGACAGTGAATCGGTGGGCGTTAAAAACTAAGATAAAGAAATGCTAACTGGGTGAGAAATGTTAAAATTTAAAAAAAACAGCATCACATGTAAGGTAGGTACTCTCAGCAAGCAATAGTGATTAAAAATGGTTTCATATTATTTGTAAACAGAGTAGACTGGTAGCTATTCAGTTTTGAGTCAATGTGTCGGTGAAAGATCTGAGTAAAGTGCACAGGTAGTCCTGCTTCGAGAAAAAAAACGCGTTTCTCAACAACTTCAATGACCAAAAACATAAACACGAAGCAAATATCAGTCACGTTTCAAAATAGCTAACAATTGCCACTGTCCTAAAATAAATTAATCACCCTTCTTCAAAAATTTACAACGAAATAAATAATGCAAATAAGCTACACAGTAGATACCTACTTATCAGGTTATGAGCTACGTATATTCCGCCTCCACACTTTTAGCAGCATACGAAATGCAACTAACTCTAATCTTTCTTACTTCCGTCTCCTTGCTTGCCTACACTTCCCAGCCAGCAAAAAGTATTCCTAGTTTGTTTAAACCACATTGACATTACCACTAAGCTACTCAAACTTGCAGGAATGAATTAGATACATTGATTGACCACAGAAGAGTAACCAATTTCACGTTATCTAGTCATTGGTTTTCTGTTGGGCGAGGACCCTGACAAGATTTAGGATCCTCTGAACACCCTGAGCAGAAATCTGAGTATATTTGGTATGTGATTTGCACCATTAAAATACACGATGATGCTACTCCCAGTCTAAGAATAAGGAGTGAAGTAGTATAATGGGTTGACCAATTCAATCAATTAGGAAGCTGCATCAGATCGAATAAGTATGTTGATAACGAAATGTGAGCTCAGAAACAAAAGGACCGGTAGCCAAATCGTGTGTGACAACGGCGAGATAGTCAACTACCTGTTACAGGATGAGTATAATGAACTGCAGGTCACCTTATCCTGCTGTATACCTCAAGGATATGGTGGTTGGAAGTAGGAGATATGAAGAGAGTACAAGCTTTCGAACATAGGTGTCTTTGTGTTGGTGTGATGGGACCATTTTGTGAACAATTTCGAAAGCAGAAGTGGAATATAATACAAAGAAGGTAAGTTAATGATGTGGACATTCAGTAGCTGAGACGATTTGGACACGTGGTGCGCATGCCGAACCACCGTCTACCTCGACGTGCAAACTTAGCGAAATAGGATTTGGTCAGAAGAAAGTTAAGAGTTACCAGGCCAATAGCACCAATCCATGAAGTCTCTAGTTATTGGTCGGAAATATGCACTTAACAAACTTGTGCATATCTGTGTAGTAGGCAATGAGCCACATCTAAAGTGCAAAAGTTAATAATACCCCGTAACTGCCCAGACCTCAGTAGGTGGAGTAGGGTTTGAAAGTCAACTGCCTAAAGCAATGAGTCATAGCTCCGTGTAGATTACCGAACCATGGTCATCGAGAGGATAGGAATCAATGGTTTGAGACATGGATGAAAACTGATCACAATGATGCAGATATATACACACTTTTTTTCTCTCATCATACATACATTTATCGACTTCAGCATCATTCCTTTTCTATTCACTGGTTTTGAACTTGAGCAGATGCCCTTCTCTATTAGGATTTAAATGGAATTTCAACAGGGGACTCATTTCTTGGAAGTCGAGTGCTTACGCCAGTGAGTTACACCTTCAGAAACCTACACTTGCTGACGACTAATGACAACGAAAGTGTTAGTTTAAGTGATAGATACTAGATACATGAATAGCATGTAATACTTTGAGTCTGTATACAAGAGTTCGATTTTATCAACATCAAAGCATTAAGAATAAAATAACAGATGATAAAGTAAAACCTTGTAAGTTTATGTGCTTGGAGAGTTGGACAGAGGATTCGGTTTGAAAAAAAATAGCTGTTGGATCTAGTAGTAAATAGTTCTAGGATTATGGTTCTCTGAAACACTCTCATCATTATTTGCATGCAACGATTGACTAACTTTTAGAAATTATGTAACGATTTATTGAAAAAAATAGAATCCTGTCACCACAGAAGTTAAAAAAGTGTACAAGCTTTAAATTCATAATAACATACTCGATCATGAATTTCAGAAGCATGTTTAGCCTGTTCAATTAAATTTACTTCTTCAATTGTTTTGATTAATTCAGCAGGGACAGGAATATCTACAAGGAGAAAATTATTGATAGGTAAAGGTTATCATGAAGTTATAGTTAGTTTAATACATAATAAGTTTATCCCCACAACAACGACTATTCAATGTGATTTACAAACTGATTCCTAAATACTCCTTATGGAATATGTACACAAGCATGTACAAAATATGTACAAAGTATTTATATAACTTTATATAAGTAAGCATTCTTGTGTTCTTAAAAGTATTAAAAGAATTAAGAATATATGTAGATGAGGATGTCGATGTCAATATATGTTCTCTAAACCGGCAAATGTTTGAAATCGAGCTTTTAAATATACTTTAGTCATCATTCACTGTACCCCTTGGAGTGTTTTATAGTGTAACAACATCCGGCACACATCTTCCTGAGATGAAATGGAAAAAACTTCTGAATTGCAGAACGTTAAGTATTGTCAACTAGGTCATTAACTACACTTTTCAAGCTACTTTGCCTTGAAGAATATCAACTCATAGAATAGTTTTACAATCAAGTATTGTTTCTCCTGACAAACAACATCTATTTTATTAAAATATCTATCAATGGGGATTCTTATTTACAACAAACCATTTAAACTTGATTATTAGCAAGGAATTATATCAGCATACAATAAGCTCCCTTATTTCGCGTTAGTCCTAACAAAGTAGATCAATAATTAACTCAATAAAGTCTAAATGAAAGGGAATTCCGTTGGTTTGACTCAAAAAGCAGATATATTTAATCCCTTTTGCCAAGTATATGGCTAGGGGCTCATACAGTAAACTAAGTCTAGCAAATAACAAGGCTACACAGACTACCGATAGATATCGTTTACGAGTTAGATACTTTCAGTTTATACAATACAACCAACAGTTTCTAACAATTTCATGTGATAAAATTCCCTCCCACAATTTTCTCAGGCTATTAGTCAACATCATAGTCAAAACAATGCACAATATCTAAGTGAGTAATAAGCAGGAGAACGATCGACAATACGTCAAGATTAATTCAGCTAAAAAAGAGATTGTTTCGACGATCAAATGTAATGAGGTGAAAAAGCTTCTCCAAGACTATAGTTGTTTTCCTTGATAAACTAGTACTGCAGTGGTAACAATACTGCATAATACGTAGAAGTGAGACAGAATCTTCAGAAAGGAATATTGATTGGATTTTAATTATTCCTGCTATTAAATAATCGGATAATTTAACCGTGTTTTTTCACGACACCACCTTCACTTAGTCCTATGCACTGTAACTAAACACTGTACATTACTGTACATAAAATACATATGTATCTAGACAGGACAGGAGTAGAAATTAAAACTACCTTGATCCATATTACAATTGTCGACTGATTCATAGAATATCATATAAGCGTTAGTTGAACTATGCCATAAACCATTTTGCGACGGAATCTCAGAAATTGTACAGTCGATATTTTCATCTAAATTAGTAATATCACTTGTATTCGTTGATAAAATATCACAACGACGCTTTTTAGCTTTACGATAAGAACATCTTTCAAGTGGTTGGTCAACTTTATTCTGATTTGTTGGTGTTTCTGAAGTTTCTGTACTGGTTAAATAACTTTGTAGAGATTTAGCTGATCCATTAATTTTAGCTAATTTGAATTGATGTGATGGAATAGTGAAAACCTGGAAAACAAAACACCTCTTGTTTAATAGACATATCTTGAGAATCGTAAGGAGTATTCAAAGTCTTTTTTAAAAAGAAAAATATTGGTTCTTAGTGTGATTTAAAACGTTTGTAAAACGAGGACAACGATGACAGACAGTTGGTTGGAGTAGATAATTCAGTGAAACTCGGACATATGTGTTTATTGTCGAAAGGACAGACGCTAGCAAACACTAAGTAACTGAAGATTTTAAAAGCCTGATTACCACGCAGTTAGCGTAGCTCAGTTGGAACAGTATTGGTTTCGTATTTCATATTGATGGATTGTATTTAATCACATTTTTTCTCATGACCTTGAAAATTATTTACCTGACAGTAGCAAAACCTACTGACAGTGTAATACTAACCAATAGTTTAGCTAAATATTTCAAAAAGGCTTACATCTGTATCATTGCAAACACTCCAGCATTCATCCAATTTTATTTGCTGCTCATCAGCAGCATGCAGTTCTGTGCTCTTATCAGCGGGTGTACTGCTACTTTTGTAAGAATCTCTGAGGACAGCTATATAATGTCCTGAAGTCGGTTGATTACCAATATGTAGAAGTATACCACACAGGCGATAGGCACGATATGGAGGATCTGAAATCAAAAGGATGCATGATACATGATTCATATGCGAAAAATTCCATTCAAAATACATATCAGTATGTCAAACTTATATGGTTCAACGAAGTTTCTTGAAGACCGTATGTCGTTTCATAGATAGTCAACTACCACAAACGAACCTTACAAAAAGATTTTCGATTGAGAACCTTCATGATATGTGAAACCTATTCTAAGGAAGACATTTTAGAGTATCTCAGGTATTGAATTATCAAGACTGTTTAAAATACAGATATGTAATGCTATTTATCTCTAGGGGCATTTTATCAACCACGGTCCGCAAACAGTATGACTTGTTGGGCCATATAAATAAATACAAAGAAATACATCTTGATGTCCAACAGGTATCAAACTCTAGTATTCAGACCCACAATTACCCTTAATCAAATTGTAGAAAATAGATTATAAAAAGGTACGGCATTCGAAAAGAACGGTCTTAGAAACCAAAGCAACATTGGATTTTTAGTTGCGTTTAGTGGCAACTGCATGCATCATCAGAGTAATTTACACCAATAAGCAATGCATATAGATGACTGTAAATAATGGAATTTACACCAATGTCTTAATTAGGACTAAAGTTAAAGTAATCTTACGTACTAACTTTTCAAATGAGTCCTTTCTATTGAAGCATCTACAAACTTAGAGGTCACAATGTGTGATATCATCCCCATATGTTGAACGGGAAATACTTAAATTACCACTGGTAACGCTTGAAAGTCCTCTTTAAATTGAAATCCCCCAAGAAATGCCACCATTTGACGAAAAAAACCCACTTATTATATGATTTTTAATAACAGGCAAAAACGATTTTATAAAGAAATAAACGATATTCGACTTGATTTCAGATTGGTATTTATCATGGACAGTTTGCGAAACATCGGAAACCTGTGAGAACTGGATAGCTGTTTTGTCCTAGTATGGGACTCCTCATCAGTTCGCACCTATGACCCTGCCAGGGATTGAACCCAGCACCTTCAGGTTTCCCGGTCAGCGCGTTGCCATTGAGCCACTGGGTTCGAATCCAATGGCCCACAGTTTTCTACTTCTGTCAGTTCAACTTGTTTTACACTATTCTCAAACAGAGTCTCACACAGACTAAGCGTAATGGATGTCTCCAATGGAACACATGCCTAGAAGTGTGGCGGCAACCGTTTACTAGATACCCAGAGCAGTTCGTGACTGGTGTACTTAAAAAAATGTATCACAAGGTCAGAAATCACATATCCCCAACTAAGTCATTTCAGATAGATGAATGCGTAATAAGTTTGGCAAAACATAAAAATAATAAATGGTTTGAATGAAAGCCTAAAGTGCTACTACAGAAACGACGCTACGAAATAAATAGCTTGCTGAAAGCTTTCTCGATACACAAATAATTCAATAAAATACTATAATTAACACCACAAAAAGGTTTTTCTTAGTCTCTTTTTAACAGTAGCCTATTACAATTCATACGAACTGCATGACTGAATCAAAACAGTAGGCTTAAATCTATAAAAAAGTTAATGTAGGATATAATTGTAGAAGAGAAGGACAGAATAATGCAGACATAAATTATAACAGATGCACTGCAATGTGTGCCACAGAAGAAGTATTCAGATTATGTATCGTTAAGAATAAATGCAAATTAATAATACCTGAATGTGTGCTTAAACACGCAACCGAATGTTCAGAACTCGAGTGCTTATTATAATTTTGGTTATTAACAACTTTTGTTAGCTCAAGAAGATCAGGTAAACGAATAGATGCTTTATACTTTTTTCGTTGACCAGTTTTTGAATCATAAGTGAATCGAAGGAGCTGGATGCATAGTAAGGAAGGAGCACGAGTTATATAGGCTCGCCTAACACCATTTCTTTTGCAACCACACTGAGAACAAGCATACTGATTGTCACCAATCAAGTGTTCTTCCTGTAAAATAAAACACATAAAAGATATAATCTTTGAGATGAAATAAAACTAACAACATAAAAAGCTGGCTAAAAACATCCTTGAATCCGAATGAATGACGAAAATGATGATCCATAAAAGTTCCCTGTAAAAAAAGATGAGTTTATGAAATGTAAGCTAAAATAATCAGTCAGCTAAGTCGTTATTCTTGAAAATTTTATGATTACTCAGTATAGAATCGGTAACCAGAATTGTATTCTGGTCCCGTACTTCTGCAATTCGAGTGAAATGTTCATACAATGACGTACTGAACCAACTGCTTGTAGGTCTGTACAATAGCCCATGAAACACATTTTGCAAGAAGACTTATGATACTTACTAACTGGCTGTCCAAACTTCAGCAGGTGGACGAGAATTCGAAACCATGGGATGAGATTTGGAAGATAAATAAGTACCTAAGCCAGTAATCCTGAGTCTCATCAATTGCCAATACAAGCAATAGTCATTCACCATTATTATGCGCAAAAATACCAAAACTACAATTTTAAGAAAATAAAAATCACAACGCAAAGGCAAAATGATCGTTTGCTAAGACCTATTAGAGATTAACAGAGTTACAGGTCAATTTTAATTTGAAACTGGATTCAGACTTTCAAAATCAAAATATTTTCCAACTATATTATAGAATACCTGAGAAATAAAAGTATGCTACGGAAGGTTTCGGTGTGCGAATGTGTTGGTGACTAACGGGTGTACTGTGTTAACAAAGATAGGATGAATTATCACCGTGATGCACACAGTGCTGAGCAGGTGAATTTTTTAGAAATTAACCCTCTCCCATATTATATTAGTTCACTAAATATTAGCATACATTGATACGGAATCATCTGTTGAACGATGCTTCAAATACAATTTATAACTGAATAATTATAACATTACTCTTGTTTTAATTATTTTTATCATTCAGGTGAATAATGTTACTAGTGACTGAATGAGAGACAGACAAATAAATCAACGTAGAACCTGATACAGAAGGATATCTTGTTCATAAGTGCAAAGCAGCATTCAAAAACAAGTGAATCGAAAAATAACTATATTAAAGCAAATAAAAGTTCTTGTGATAATAGAAAAAAGAATGAAGGTTAAGCAAAAATGTTTGAGACTCTGATAGTGTGTATATCTGCACAACTGTCACCAATTTTCACTCATGCATCAAATCACTGAGTCCAATAATTACCATCGACCCAGTTAGATAATTTACACCTTTCTACACGAAGCTGTGCCTCATTTCCTTAAGCAGTTGACTTTCAAACAGTGGACCATGAATTCGAACACCGCTCCAACTACTGAGGTCTAGGCAGCTAGGGGGTATTACTAGCCCTAACACGATAGATGTGGCTCATTGCCCATTCTACAGCTGCGACCAACAATTAGAGACTTCATGGATTGGTGCTACTATTGGTCACGTAACCCTTAGCTTTCTTCCAAACAAATGCTATTTACCGCTAACACTGCACGTCGAGGTAGGTGGTGGTTTGGCATATGCAGTATGTGTCCAAGTCATCTCAACTGCTGAATATCTCTACAGCTTCACTGAACAACTTTCATTCCTCAGATTACAAAGTCACCATTGGTTTATGCACCTGCTTTAATCATTGAGTGACAAAGGTGTCCAATTCTTGACATTTATCCACTGCCTTCGGAAATACACTTAAAGTAAGAGGCTGTGGGTGACCTCATGGGATAACCAATTAATTACCCTTGTCTACCGTAAGTGAATCACGATATAATATTTAAGTGCGATAGCCTGTGGTTCCCACAACTAACGACAACAATGTAGCACAAATACTTTCCCATTATTCACTGTATTGTTTTATATTCCTCTCTAATGTATCTTTTCTCACTTCTATTCTTATTGTTTTTTTAGCTCAACTGCTGCGAATTGCCGGAAGTCCTAGTTAGATTGTACTATTAGGTAGCAGTAGATTACCAAACGATTGCTGTTCTCAGTTTTTCTGAGACCATATGTGCCTTTTAAGCTTCCAGCTTTCAGTATCCACAACTAGACAATAGAATATGATACGACAAAATAATAACAGCCTGATGATGAATAATGCGATATCTCCTTTTCACCAAAATCTGCTTCCAGTAGAAACAGAATTAGGACAATCACTTGCAGACACAATAACTACAAAGTTCTGAACAAATTAAACTAATAATAAACTAGTTCTTGCATCAACATCAAGAAAGTTTGCATTGAACTACATTCGTCTACAGATTTTCTGATTTTATTTAACCTACCATAAGAACTATCCTAATAAGTAAAAATTTAACTGGACCACATACTACAATATAATATTCTATAATGGATTGTTTATTCAATGTGGCACACAGTGATGCAGTATAATTTACTCGTTGACATTTCGAGAAGAATTCATTGCTCATACTCGTATCAAAGCAAACATACGACTTTCTAACTTCCTCTATATAGTCTAACAGTTTTTCATACATTTGTTTTAATGGTAGTAAAATTACCTAGACATCCACAATATCTGATAGGTCATTCCTGTTACAATGAAAAAGGATTCTGCGTCCAATCTCTCCTTCCACCTAACTACAGTTAGGTTGAGGGAAAGACTGAACACAGGATCCTTTTTCATTGTAACAGGAATGATCTATCACACATTGCAGATACTTGGAAAACGTTACTAGCATTGAAATAAACGAAATAAAAACTGTCAGACTATATAGAGGAAGTTTGAAAGTCGTATGATTACTTTGATACGAGTATGAGCAAGAAATTCTGCTCGAAACGTCATCCAGTAAATTATGCTGTATCACTGTGTGTAATATCAAGAAATAAACAATCCAATATGGAATTCTACTATGTAATAGCCTCCCAGGTTTTACTCTCACATTAGTACAACATAAAATTTTCACCGGATGCAGTGGTTGCGAAACACATTGGTTTCAATGTTGCAAACACTTTGATGAATGAATGTCACTTTCAACTACGTATATTTCCTTAGGATCCTACAAAAATACACATATGCTTGAAAAGTAGGTTAATATGTTTCACAGAAATCAAAATCTCAACGGTTGCAAATTCAAAACACAGTTACCAGAACTGGAAAAGTTGGTTTACATTCATTTTGGACACGAAGAGGTATCACCATGAATCGATAAAATAATCAAAACAACAGTAAAAAACATATTTCGTGCAGCTATTTGGTCATTTTGCGCAGTACAAGCTGTTCAGAAAATCAATCGAACGTAAACGAATACCCTGCTCATCTCACTTTTCATTGCATTTACTGGATTACACACACTTGGATGAATAATGCATAGGAAAGACTGAGAAGAGGGGCAGTTACTAGGTTTTCTGATCATGTCCCGAAAAATGTATGCCTTGTAAAGAAAATAATTCTAACCAATAGCTAATTAATACACGGATGATATACAGTTGAGGTCAATTGTCCTTTCAAAATAACCAACGTACATAATAATTACAGCAATGATGGTAATTAAAGGTTTACAAACCACCTTCTGCGTAATGCGCTTAACTTTATGTTGCCCTGTTAGCTGCTTTTTCATTTTGTAGCGTAATTTTTATTTTGTTTTCATTTCCCTAATGACTTCCATAGAGTGATATAAATTCATTCTTAAAATTTTCAATATGTTTGTTTGTACTAAAACTCACAAGTAACAGCACAATTCACTTCTATGTTTTTAACTCCTTGCTTTTCTTCCTGTCTCCAAGACCTTCTGTTACGATAAGAAAACGCGAACTTAAACTATTTCATCCTTATATTTCCACTGTATTTTCCTCATCCACTAAGTACACTGTGAAAGTTGAACTTTGATTTAGGCCCAAATAGCTGAAGTATATCACTTATTGATTTTTTTTGTACATAAGTTTTGGGTTTTTCACAGCCTTTATGAGCTTTGAGATAAAATGTACACTTCAATCTGCAAATTTCATTGTTCTAGCTTCAATGAGCAGATAACTGAAACTGATATACCATATCTAAAATGATGGTTTGGGTGCTAATAGGTCCTGTTGATAAAAGAAAGGATTTGTAGCTCAGAATGAGGATGATAGTTACTCGATGTTCTTCAGTTTATTTCTATCGTCTAGAAATCATATTTCAAGATGATATATGCAAAAAATTTTAAACAATTGTTTGAATCATTTACTCTAAGTTCATTCGTCACATTAAATTGTGAACCAACAGGACTCTTTTGCTCAGCACCCTCTGCTGATATTTTTATAAGGTAAACAAATAAGTTTATCTCTCTGTTCATTATTCATTGGTCAATATCAAGATTGAATATTTATTGACTAAAACCGCACGTCAAAAAGCAATTAAAAATAACAAGTCTCATTCTGAATAAAAACACCACCTTTAGGTAATCTCTAATACAATCCGGTAGTGATTTGGACGAAACTTTCAGGGACAATTCTAGAAATTTTGAAGGTAATCGGGATGTGAAACCACAGGTTGAACAACTAAAACCAAGAACATTTATAAAAAAGAAAACAGTGATATGTGCTACAAGTCTCATAAATCCATTTATGAATAAAAGGTATATAGTGTTGAATATCTATAGTAATAGGAAATAACAAAAATGCGAACGCACTACATAGCAAACATGACATTGTTGTACAAATGAAATAAAACCAGTATAAAAAAACGGAGTGGTGATGACGATATCATTTGAATTTTATTCTCTATAGGAAATCACAATGATTACTAAATATGGGTATCAAACCAGATCATCTCCGGTAAAGACACATTCTATTTACATCGAGGCACATTGAGGCACCAGGTGCTTAACCACAGTTACCTTTGTAGCATAGGCCATGTGTCGTGGTGTCACCATGTGAGTAACGCAGAAGTCAGGAGTAGTTTCAGAAGGGAGAGGAAAATCAGTTCCTAAGGCCGTGAACCCTCATCGACTAAGATGGCTGGGACGTATGTTACGCATACCTAGTCACCACCTGCCTCGTCGCGCAATATTGGCTAGAGTATATTCAGGCTGGAATAAGGTGAGGGACGACCGGACTAAAACATGACATCACTGCATGAAATCTTTAACTGACGGTTTCAGACATGTATGGAGATGCAGACTTACCGGGTGGGGTCCAGATGACAACAGAAACCGGCGGTTCGAGACTCTAGGTGATATGGATCAGAATCGATGTCAGTGACGCAGATGTATCTCCACTTTATCTTCATTTTAACTGCTGTGCTGAATTCAGCACTTTCTCACTCTTCCTTTCTCTGTTTTGCTACTTTCTAATGATTTTGACTGATTTTTACTCCTTTCTTTATCTTATATTTTACTACTTTGCTGCTTGTTGTCATGATATGAGGTGTGGCAACTTCAACCGTTACGCAGTAATGCCTGGTCTTATGTTGATGATGAGGATTATAATTTGTGTGATTGAAAATTTTAACATAAGGTTGGTGAATAGGATGCGAAAACACCAAATATAGTAACAAATACATCGGTTGCTTCACTTATCAAAGACTGAAATGCAGTGGATGCATTTCATCGTATATGCAACGAAAAATAAAAAGCTTTGTAACGACCCCCGGATAAGTTGGGAGGGGGGGAATGTCACTCAGTCTTGATATCTGTTACTCAAGAAGGCAAAGAGAAGGGCGGGTAAGAATCTAAGCTAGTTTCAGGACGCTTTAGTACCAACTAGGAAGCTGGACCGATTAACTGTCAAGTGCTACAGTGATGTAATGGTTGAGTTTGCATATCACTATAGTTCAACAAGCTATCCTGACTGGAACAATTGTTCCTTGAGGTCTTACAGGTTAAGGTGATAGTACAAATAATTCACACAAAAGTAGGATCAAAGCGTGAAGTCGTTTCGCACAGAAAACCAGCATTCTACGCTGATGCAGCTTTTTGTCGTCAGAGGCAGGTGTTAGTGTCGGGCAGAAAATAGTTTTTCTCCCTGGTCTACTGCTGCCAGTGATAAGAATATTTAATCAAATACACAATTAACTAAGCTCAGTCTGAATCAAAAACCTATAAAAAGTGAGTGTGGTCGATCTCATGAGGATGTTATTTTAACTCTGCGGCAACGCACTCAGGTCGATAATACCACCTTTACAAGTTCCCGTACTTTTTTCAGTTACCTTAGGAAAAACCAACTTTCCACAACGGGTGCCCAAAAAGTTCTAACTGGCATTACAGCTCCGTCAGTACTCAAGCCCCTGCTGATTACCACTAACCTTACAACAAATCGTTGCCTTCTAAACTTTCTCCACACTTTCCTGTTAATAATTCTATGCCATCTTTAACTTCATTCAGTCTTGCAAACCATGCTAACGATTCACGTCAGCGCAATGACATCCAAGATCCTCTGAAACCTTGCTTCAAACTACATATAGAAGCTTTCAGTGCGCATACCATTCATCAAAATGGAAAAAGCACTGCTAGTAAGAACTCTGGCATCTTGGGTTATAGATGCGAGTTGTGTTTGTCAAATATGCACATGTATATAACTGAGACTTTTTAATTAACCTCAGACGACCGATGTTATGTTCAATTTACCCTTCGAGTTCCTGGAGGTTTCTAGCTCCGTTCATGTAGTCGCACGGATATAGGCAGAGCGTTGAGTTCGAGAGCAGAGAATGCACTATTTGACTCAATCCCACTCCAGAATCATGCATTGATTAAAGAAATAGTGTAGTAACGACTAAAAACTATAGTGAGACATAATTGGCCTTTTTGTAATCTCTGTGTACGTATCCACCAACTGCAGTTTGTACAAAGATTTTTACTGAAGAATGTTCAGTTTTACTAAAAGCTAGACTTGCAAAGTTCATTGTCGTAGTGGTTAAACTCAGCGCACAAGCAAAACGTCTAAGTTATTGCGGAATAGAACAAACGAGTAATGATGATCGTCTTTTACAAACATGCTCAGACGATCATCTATTTTTAGTCAGCACTTTGTTCTGTGCGGGAAATGCTACGAAGGCAATGGTGATGGAACATTTAAGGCCTTCTTATGCCCAATATTTTTACTGATCATATTTCACAACCATAAAAAACGCGGTAAACTGCTGCATAGTATATTCCATTCCTAGTAGGAGTTCGCATTGCTCGTCGGCACCCCAAGTGATGTAGATTACTAAATGTCAAACCACCCGTCTGTATTCGCAAGGAGATTTTATCATCTTTCGAACAAGCAATGTTGATTCGGATCTCCAAATAAATTGAAGTGGTCGACACGATCAACCACTTTACTCTATTTTAGATAAGCGTTTCCTTTTGCGAAAATCTGCTTTTAGGAGGAGGAGGAGGAGAAACGCATCTCAAACATTCTCCGGTTATCGCTCAAATTATCCAGGAAGCGCTGTGTTTTGTCACCCTCTTCACCTAATAAGATCACCTAGCGTGAATACTTTAGGTCAAGTTAAGAAGAGTTAGGTGAACTACAGAAGTATAGCGTATTTATATATACATATATATTCACCACGGAATGTATTCCATCAGATTTCTTCCTTCTATATTGTTTTAATCATTTAATTGTATCCTCTAATCGAATAAAATACTCCGCGCATTTTCAAAATTACTACAACCTACTGTTCCGCAGGAAAATTTAAGAATAAGCACCATGACAGATAGCAACGGGTTCCTTAAGCGCATGACTGTTTCGGAAATGTACTTAGCACAAACTGCAGGTCTTTACCGAGGAAAGTTGATTACCTTCAGTCACTCTTACCCATAATCTTTATAGGAATACGGGCGAAATAATACTAACTACACGAAACATGGCTTCATAACCTACATGATGATGATTTGATCTGTTTAAATGGTTTCAAGATATTTTGACAAGATCGATATTTCTCAAAGAAGTGTGGTGGAGGTGTAGAAACACTTATCAATACAAATCGGTTCGTCTCCAACTATGCTTTAGCTTCTCAAACAGCAAAATTAACTCCATTACCGTTACATGTTGTCCTAAACATTTGAGTAAATACAACCACATATACATAAACATTTATTTCACATCTAACTGCAGTTACTCAGACTTGACAACTTTCTCCGACAAACCAACCGAATTTGCCGCTTCTACTCATGGCAACTCTCTATCTACAGTTTGTGGAGACTCTAATTCATGTGACTGTAGTTTTCTCTTAACATTGGGTCACGAAAATCTGGTTAACTTTTCCACTCGTCTTGACGAGTGTTCTCAAATGACTCCGAGATAAATTAAGCTAAATTCTGACCACTGTAGTGTACGTGTTTTGCCCAAATTAAATGACAAATGACATAAGAAGGCATCTGGATACCTTTCCAAGAAAGTCCGGCACAGATGCCATTTACAGGACAATATACAATGCTTGAGAAGTATTTCGAAAGAAACAGACTGGCGTGTATTTGTTGATTAAGTCTTAGATAACACTATTACTAAGTTTACGAGCTATCTCACATTCTGTCTTGACATACGCTGACCTGCTGAAACAATCCCGATGAGATTTCGTAGACCTTCCTCTCATCACAAAAAGCTTCGAAAAGAAAAAGACTGTATAAGGTGAAAGATCACCCTCGAGTTAAAAGACTTAAGTGCCCAATTAATTCTGGAATACAATATCTAAACATCAAAACCAGAAATTTCTATTGCGCAGGAACTTTACCAATATGTGGAAATTATTCAAAGAGTTTACTGGTGGAAATCAGATAACTCAAGAAGCTTGTTGCGACGTCTAAGCATCAAACCAGTTATTTAAATGTCAGTAAGCGAAACTCATCCTTCCTAGTGTCTATAGTCAGATAGATAGTTGTTTTTGTGGTTTCAATCCAAATGCCGTTTGCGAATGTACTTGCAACTCCTTGAATTCATCCCAAAGCCCAGATTCTGGTGTTTCGAGTGTTACATTTAGAAAATCTGTAGGTATTTTGTCATCATCTTACAGATACCCTTAATGCATCGTTTTCCGAAAATACAATGTCTACTAATTGAAAGGAGATTAAAGATTGTGTCTGCAACGGAGTTATCTTCTGGATTAGATGCAAAGCTTGGACCCATTGCTATAACCCCTCCTTTTCTGAAAACAATCGAGTAATTACTTTATCCAGTGTTTAAGCCTTCACTGAAGACCCCGAAGATCCGGAACAACTGAGCAACAAACAGGAAAAGTGCTTTAGATGCTATCACTGCCCTGCATCATAATATTTTTTATTTCAGATGAGGGTGTCAAATATGTTCTGTGAGCCTTCTTGGATTACACGCCTGCTGTCGACTCTGTTTCTATGCCACTCTAGTTAAATAAGTTTGCCAGTGATCAAACTGAGCTCTAGATTAAAAACTGGCTTCATTCCTAGTTTTTTGGAAGGAAATACTATACTGTTTATCAAGAGAAGCGCCCCACTTCATTGTTTACTGAAGTCGGTGTGCCTTACAGCTCAGTACTTTCTCCCTTTCTGTTTTCTTTCTTTTTGCAAGATTTACTTTACTCTGTCGAAACGAATTTTATCAAATATATAGACGTGATGGTTTTCATGCCAGTTACCCCTGGGTAAATTGCTCTCAAATAAACCCTTTCTTATCTAAAATTGGCTAGTGGCCTTCTTCAAATGGTCTCTAGCTTAGCCCTTAAGAATGTCAGACCGTCAACTTCAGCCCCAGGTGTAAAAAAGACTTGTATGAGCTGCTTCAGCCCCACGATCCCTGTAAAATAGATGGCATTACTGTAGAAAGCAAATCGAATGTTACCAATCTTCGATTGTGGTGCACCTATGACCCAACTGATTAACGCTAGTCGACAGGTGTTTAAATTCTATATACTTAATAAAATTCGTCTCAACAGAATAAGGTAAATCATGCAAAAAGAAAGAAAACAGAAAGGGAAAAAGTACTGAACTGTACGGTAAACTGGCTTCAGTAAGCAAATAAACAATTGAGAAGCTTGTGGGGATTTTACTAATTTGATGCAATTTGGAATTCTCTGTATGTTACATTGCAACAAACTCCTTTACGACACTTTGAAGTCTTAAGCATGGAGATTCAAATAGTTACAGCACTTTTCACCTGATCTATAGAATAAACTAGAAAAAAATAAGAAATGAAGTATACTAGGAACCAATGATAACACGAAACTCATTCCACACACTGTTAACTGCTAAATAGTATACATCAGGATAGTGTTTTTTGAAAGTGTATAATAAGCTACTTAAGAAAAATCATAAAAAGATCAAAAATTTACATCACTTACATAGTTTCGTAAGTATATTCTCCTCGTATTAAGTTGTCAATGACGGATACACCAACTTGCTGAAAACGTGCTTCCAATAAATTCATGAATAAGCAGTGAAATTCGGGAGCATCCTAAGTTAAACATTTCAAAAATACAAAACTTATTTAGGAAAAGCGAAAATATATAATGTGATCTCCAAAACAAGTATTCGAAAAAACTAAAGTGTTAGTTAAAGAAACGCTAAATACGACCTGTTCACAAAACAATTTTTTTCAAGCCGAGAAAAAATACAATTAATACAAGTATATCCTACTTGCTGTTCCGTATTGCACAGTCGTAAAGCCTCAATTAAACCACCAGGATCAACCACTCTAGAATAAAAAAGAATAAAGAAAAACTTATCAAACGAACGAACAGTATCTACAAATCACAGATAAAACATAATAAGGATGAATTCTCCTAATTAGTTAGACAAATTGAACTAACGCATAATCATCCATAGAACTTGATCCCCTCAATTTATTATACATCACAGCAATATCATGACACTACGCATCACCAAAACTATTCAAATGCCAAAAATAACGAAGAAACAGTAAAGCGTGCTCAGCCGAAGACATCAATAACAATTCACAACAAACGACTAACGTCCAAAAAAAATCAACCACACCTGCACACACCGGTGCATCACCTCAACTCGCCACATTTCACAGTAGTACACAAAGAACAGGCAGATAGAAAAAGAGTGATAACAAATAAATAAAAAGTAGTGTGAGAGAATACACAATCCGAAGATAAAGGTTAGTGTGAATATTTAAGCTTTAGACGATGCTAAGGAGTGAATGCATCTGCACAATGGTGACCGATTTTCAGCCATATCACCAAGAGTTCTCAATAAGTAACTCCTTACGTCTCGGTGACCACAGTTAGATAGTCTACATATTCCAACACAGCTCAGACGAACAGTAAGAGACTTCATCAACTAGTGTCACATCTTGGTCTGACCACTCTGAACCCTCTGCCAACCCAATCCAACTTCCCCTAGCATTACAAACCGAGGAAGGTGGTGGATCGGCATGTGCAGCATATATCCAAGCCATCTCAATCGACTTCCCTGTTTTCCCTAGTATCCTTCGCCTGACCTCAACATTGCTCACACTGTGATTCCACAAATCATGAGCAATGCTACAAAGACACCTATGGTCTAAACCCTGCAACCGCTTTATATCTTCCACTTTCATCGGCCATGTCTCACAATCGTACAACAAAATTTGGCAAACTGCAGAGCCAGTTTTCTTATCCTTTGGTGGATGGTCGGATATCTCACCAGTCGGGGGGACAGATGATGCAGGTTGACAAATGCTAAATGAGTCTTCTGCATCCGAGTTGAGATTCATCAGCAAGCAGCCCTTTCCAGCTGATGCAACTCTCCAAGTAGGTGAAGTGGTGGACACATTCCACCACCTTACTCCCTATCATTAAATTGGAAGTACTTGCTGCAGACCAGTTCTGGAGCATCATCTTGCATTTGACAGGTGTCAGTGAAAAGTATGGCAAACATACTCAGATTTCTGCTCAGCGCATTCGGAAGACCCTGTATTTTTCATCAACATTTTCACCCAGTAGGAAAATATCATCCACGCACTCCAAACGAACCAGATAACCTCCAGGGAGTAGGTCAATCCCTGTGAAGTCACACATATCTGAGGTTGTTTCCATTACTTCGTACATGACAAAGTTAAGTAGGAACGGTGATAGTGGATATCACTGGCGGATACCATTAGTTGTCACCAGTTTACGTGATCTGAGAGATGAAAGATTTGAGTGACCACAAGGCACATCGGACATTTGCTTCAGCCATATCACACATGGCATTTTGTAAGATGTTGTTTTGAGGTTTGGTTGTTCTAACTCCAGATAAGAGAAACCCATACCACCAGCTCCGGAAGACCATGTGGCAAGGGATTTTATATTGGGCCCCGACCTTTTCTACCCCTCTCTTTCCCGTTGAGAAGGCAACACTAGCATGGCACTGCTGGTCATCCAAGGGGAATACCTTACTGCTGTTACACCCTATTCAGCTAGAAGTACGACTTCGCCCTCAGACCCCCATCATAGTGTAGTAATTTACACTACAACTAACTGTTTTTCGTCTCATCACTGTTCAACAGACCTTTCTGGCATGGTTGGACCTCGAGGGAACAAGCGTTCCACCAGCATAGCTCGTTGGGTCATTGTGATATGCAAGCCAGACATCACGTTATGGTAGCAGCCATTGATCGGATACTGATAGACTAGAGATACAGCTCAGCATATATAATGCATGAGAAGTAATCGCAACCTTTTTTACTCATTATGAAATGAAAAAGGCATAGTGTCCTTATCGTTGTACTTCCATATGTTTTTCATAAAGAATTTCACACCTTTGGCGAATCATTCTTGTTTCTGAAACAGCTTTGTATTTTGCTGTCATTTCATAAAAGATCTTCGTTAACAAAATAAGTAGGCCGTGTTTGCCTCAGGTTACCGAACTGTAACTTCCCATTTCTGAAGAGCCACTCAATACGGTAATGATATGTCCACGTTTGTTTGGGCACGCACAAATTTCCACTGATTTTGGTGATTCTAATGATTCAGAACTTTTCAGACCTCTCTGTAAAAGCAGTTCAGGTAGTTACACTATTCCTAAAACGACAGTAAGCAACAGAACTGCTTATATGATTGCTATTTTGATTAGCTGTAAATTGTGTTCATCCGCATTCGACTTTGTTATGGAAATACTAATGGATTTGATTCTATTGAGCTAGAACAACCAAACCTCAAAACAACATCTTACAAAATGCCATGTGTGATATGGCTGAAGCAAATGTCCGATGTGCCTTGTGGTCACTCAAATCTTTCATCTCTCAGATCACGTAAACTGGTGACAACTAATGGTATCCGCCAGTGATATCCACTATCACCGTTCCTACTTAACTTTGTCATGTACGAAGTAATGGAAACAACCTCAGATATGTGTGACTTCACAGGGATTGACCTACTCCCTGGAGGTTATCTGGTTCGTTTGGAGTGCGTGGATGATATTTTCCTACTGGGTGAAAATGTTGATGAAAAGTACATATACTGCTTCACGAAGTTAGTTGTTTTCGAGATCAAGTAAGTTCCCGGAGAATTTCTGATACTATTTAAAATAATGTCATTGTGACTGAAACACGGTTTTCCATACTTCTTCCTAAATTAAAATGCTTCCTATGTAGCGTGAAAAATATGAGTTTGTCTCTTTATTCTGTAAGTAGTGATCAATTCTACGTGTAATATCCATGTTTTCGTTAAGTTTTATCTATGCCAAATGACTTATAACGAATAGGTTGACAAAGGTAAACTACAAAGATTTTTGAATATAAATAATGTAGGAATCGGTATCCTTTCAGCAATCCATATAGTCACACTTGAAATTAATAATAGCAACGGTATTTTAACAGCGAAGGAATGGTAAATTGACACTAACAGTTGTCAGAGAATAATAAATGGACAGAACAGAAATAAGTTGAGACTGGAAATAAAAACTTGTTGAATAAAATGTGGACGTTTTTAAAAAGCTGGAACACATCCATGAGATAATCAAGTCCCCTACGACAAGTGAGGAGAACAAAACCATTATAAATATGTCTATGAATGTGGAAAGTGGATATTTCTCACAGACATCACTCTACGTACACAACTCATCTGATGTCTCATCACAGGCCAGTATATTACGACAAAGTTGGAATCACTTATTGTATTTATAAGAAACTTTTAGCACATAAATTAAATCAATTATGAACAATGAATCTTATTAAAAATAATATGGGAATAAAAGGTGAATATGACTATTAGTCTACACAATGAGCATTATGAATAAAGTTTGACGCCTAGATAAAAGTAGTATCATAAGCAGTCAACAAAATCAGAATGTTGTGCTAACAATCATAGATACTCATCATGTGTAATCAAATCTTTCCTGTAGAAATCATATTTACGTAACAGGTTATGAAAATATTTACCCTGAGTTGCTCAACTGAAGCTGACTAAATATCAGTTGCAATTGATGTATTATACCAGTTTCATCAGCTACAAGGAAGCGAATAAGCAAACAAATCAACAAGATTAAATTCATGAGAGTAATATATATGACAGTAAAGTATATAAAATTTGATATTTAAACTACAACAACCCATGACATAATACTCCGATTTTTACATTGCAGTAAAACTTTACTCAAGTTAACCTAATGATGAGAAGAAAGACCTTTCTAAACTATGCATAACTGATTGCACTTGACTAGCAGTAGTTTTAACATCGAGTTTTAACTTCGCACTATGAATTTTGAATGTAGCCAAAAGTTAGGATTTTTCTAATCAACAAGTTGGTCTAGGCAGAAACAGGCAAGCACTAAACACTCCCAATTTATGTAATTTGTCTAAAGTTATCAAATGCTGAAGGTTGGGGGGGATTCGGGATGCACTGATTCCCAACTGATGGGTCATGGGTTCAAACTAAACCTCACCTACCTAGGTCTAGGCAATTAGGTTCTATTATCAGACCACACGCAATGTGTCGCTTACAACCTACTAAACGGACATGTACGAGGCTGGTAAGTGAATTTCAACTTCGGTTTTTTCGTAATACGAATCCCACCGACCATAAAACAAAAAGGCGAACTACTGTTGATTGTATGTATCACAGTAAAAACATTCTATTTTATTTTGAATTCTGAAAAGTCATAGAGAAACACCAATATCTAATTTTATTATGTTTTAATGACCTACTTCTGTGACTGATGCTTAGTTTAGTTTAAACATGTGTAGCCAAAGTATATTGCATCTAAGATTTATAAAAGTAAATTAATTTGTGGTCTAGGTATCTGATTTTTAATCAATGAGCTTTGAATTCAAGCCTCGTTTCAGAAACCAAAGTACGAACAGCCAGTTAGTGCCACTGACCATGTAACAGATAGAGCTGATTATCTGGTGCATGCAACTGCACATGATTGCTGAGTTTAAGCATATTGGAATGTGCATAGAATCTTGTCAATCATGTCAACCTAACCCTTTTAGCACACTATATCCATCAGATTTCCTATCATAGATCAATAAACTTGTACGAAACTACCGTGTCTTAATTACTAGCTACAAAATCTCAGATCAGATACAGAAGACCCGTTTGGCATCTCCCAACTTACGTCATCTGTGGTCCCGCCGAGATGTCCGACTACCTAACAGAGGACTAGTGTACTGCACTGAAGTTCGCTCTGTCCTGTCAAACCACCATGAGACAGCGGCTAAAGGTAGAAGACATGAAGAGATTACAGGTTTTTGACCGCAAGTGTCTTCATAACTTTCCTCGTATGTGACAGAATCATCATATGAACGACCTCGAGATTAGGCGGAGTGTACTGAGCAAGACTAACGAGTCGATCGATGAGTCTTCAGCGACTGAAGTGGCTTGTAGATGTGTTGTGCATGCCGAGCCACCGCCCGCTCCAACGCGTAGTGCTAGGATTTAGGGTGGTCAGATTAAGACGTGACACCAGTGCATGAAATTCCTGACTGTTGGTCGGAGTCATGTAGGGGATGAGTAGACTACCTAGTTGGGGTGTGGGGACCATGGAGATCAATATTTGACGACTCCTAGTGAAATGTCTGAAAACCAGTCATAATGGTGTAGATATATGCACTCTTTAACGTCCTCTGAAGGTTGGACATTTTCCATGGTCTTCATTTCGATTTTATTTTCCCACATACACGTTTGTCTATTTTGATACGTTTTTTTCTGACCACTTTTTCTTTGTATGCTACTTTGAAATGTGGCAACTTTAGCCAATGCATTTTTGTGCAAGGTTCTACTCCGGTTTCGTCTATGTGGTAAGACCAGATGCACAGGCTAGGCTAACTCAGCCGGTAAAATTCTAAAAATATTAAGAATAAAACGTGTGGAAGCTAGTTGCAGATCAGAAATCCAAATAGTGAGAGAAGAATTGCATGTCTGCCGAAATATCTGAACAGAGGCAGTCTCAAAAAAGTTTTAGTAACTAAGAAACGTAAGTTGATTAAAAAGTAACTCACCTTGTGGTGCCACGTTATATATCGCCTTTCGAAGTTCCTTGAAACGAAAATAAAGCTGCAAAAATGCATTCAAGTAACATGTACTTCCATAGTTCTTCAATCCATTACGGTTGTGCTAAATATAAAAAAGTGCATAGTTTCTTTTTAGCAGTATGAAACAATATCGAGTTGTATCTTAACTTTCAACCGAATAGGTATTTCATATTCGAATGCACACAATAAACACATGAAAGTAGTCACTTGGATCGAAAACTAGGCATAAAAGCGGAAAATCATGTTGGACAATCTAAGATCACCAATTTTTAGAAGTCCAACAAAAACGCTAAAACTGACCACTACCCTGTTCTTTCATGCTTAATCTAGGTAAATCAGACGACCTCCTCGTAGGATATCAATTCCTCACAACTCGTAAAGAAATAGAATCATATCCATTAGTATTTCCATAACAAAGTCGAATGCGGATGAACACAATTTACAGCTAATCAAAATAGCAATCATATAAGCAGTTCTGTTGCTTACTGTCGTTTTAGGAATAGTGTAACTACCTGAACTGCTTTTACAGAGAGGTCTGAAAAGTTCTGAATCATTAGAATCACCAAAATCAGTGGAAATTTGTGCGTGCCCAAACAAACGTGGACATATCATTACCGTATTGAGTGGCTCTTCAGAAATGGGAAGTTACAGTTCGGTAACCTGAGGCAAACACGGCCTACTTATTTTGTTAACGAAGATCTTTTATGAAATGACAGCAAAATACAAAGCTGTTTCAGAAACAAGAATGATTCGCCAAAGGTGTGAAATTCTTTATGAAAAACATATGGAAGTACAACGATAAGGACACTATGCCTTTTTCATTTCATAATGAGTAAAAAAGGTTGCGATTACTTCTCATGCATTATATATGCTGAGCTGTATCTCTAGTCTATCAGTATCCGATCAATGGCTGCTACCATAACGTGATGTCTGGCTTGCATATCACAATGACCCAACGAGCTATGCTGGTGGAACGCTTGTTCCCTCGAGGTCCAACCATGCCAGAAAGGTCTGTTGAACAGTGATGAGACGAAAAACAGTTAGTTGTAGTGTAAATTACTACACTATGATGGGGTCTGAGGGCGAAGTCGTACTTCTAGCTGAATAGGGTGTAACAGCAGTAAGGTATTCCCCTTGGATGACCAGCAGTGCCATGCTAGTGTTGCCTTCTCAACGGGAAAGAGAGGGGTAGAAAAGGTCGGGGCCCAATATAAAATCCCTTGCCACATGGTCTTCCGGAGCTGGTGGTATGGGTTTCTCTTATCTGGAGTTAGAACAACCAAACCTCAAAACAACATCTTACAAAATGCCATGTGTGATATGGCTGAAGCAAATGTCCGATGTGCCTTGTGGTCACTCAAATCTTTCATCTCTCAGATCACGTAAACTGGTGACAACTAATGGTATCCGCCAGTGATATCCACTATCACCGTTCCTACTTAACTTTGTCATGTACGAAGTAATGGAAACAACCTCAGATATGTGTGACTTCACAGGGATTGACCTACTCCCTGGAGGTTATCTGGTTCGTTTGGAGTGCGTGGATGATATTTTCCTACTGGGTGAAAATGTTGATGAAAAATACAGGGTCTTCCGAATGCGCTGAGCAGAAATCTGAGTATGTTTGCCATACTTTTCACTGACACCTGTCAAATGCAAGATGATGCTCCAGAACTGGTCTGCAGCAAGTACTTCCAATTTAATGATAGGGAGTAAGGTGGTGGAATGTGTCCACCACTTCACCTACTTGGAGAGTTGCATCAGCTGGAAAGGGCTGCTTGCTGATGAATCTCAACTCGGATGCAGAAGACCCATTTAGCATTTGTCAACCTGCATCATCTGTCCCCCGACTGGTGAGATATCCGACCATCCACCAAAGGATAAGAAAACTGGCTCTGCAGTTTGCCAAATTTTGTTGTACGATTGTGAGACATGGCCGATGAAAGTGGAAGATATAAAGCGGTTGCAGGGTTTAGACCATAGGTGTCTTTGTAGCATTGCTCATGATTTGTGGAATCACAGTGTGAGCAATGTTGAGGTCAGGCGAAGGATACTAGGGAAAACAGGGAAGTCGATTGAGATGGCTTGGATATATGCTGCACATGCCGATCCACCACCTTCCTCGGTTTGTAATGCTAGGGGAAGTTGGATTGGGTTGGCAGAGGGTTCAGAGTGGTCAGACCAAGATGTGACACTAGTTGATGAAGTCTCTTACTGTTCGTCTGAGCTGTGTTGGAATATGTAGACTATCTAACTGTGGTCACCGAGACGTAAGGAGTTACTTATTGAGAACTCTTGGTGATATGGCTGAAAATCGGTCACCATTGTGCAGATGCATTCACTCCTTAGCATCGTCTAAAGCTTAAATATTCACACTAACCTTTATCTTCGGATTGTGTATTCTCTCACACTACTTTTTATTTATTTGTTATCACTCTTTTTCTATCCGCCTGTTCTTTGTGTACTACTGTGAAATGTGGCGAGTTGAGCTGATGCAACTGTGTATGCGGCTGTATGTTGATGTCGTCAGCGCGTTAGTTTATTACCATATGAATTACATACTTTCGAAAGCGCAGCATAGCTTACCACTTGAGTCCGCTCAACAGCATGTTCCGTCTCATGTTCGTTACACGGTGGTTCATCCAATACGTTTTTTTTCAGAAGACCATTCAAACAGGAAGATATGTATTTACATGTGGTTCTGTAAAAATAAAATGATGATTCAAATAATTGTACAATAGGGACGAAAGTGAGTCTCGACAACACACCTTATCTGAAAGAATAAATTCAGTTTTTTAGGAAATAGCGAAATATTTGCTACTACGAATGTTTATGAACATCTAACACGTGCAGGCTTTTTAAATAGGATCCACAAGGTGTAAGAACTTGTTTAAGACGTCAAGCACTTACCGAAGTTGATGAGAACTATGGAGTTACATTCACTCCTTAAGAGCAATGAATTCGATTATAAACACTTGTCTGCATGTTTTATCTGACACGATTTCTTTTCCAGCAACTTCAGATTATTATTAACACCGTACCTTTTCGTGGCTGATCTTCGCTCAACATGTTGCTTCAAACGATACTAACTTGAGGTAATGTGCCAATTCAAACATTACCATTTGTTCGAAATTGGATAAGAAACTTAAGAGTGAAATAACAAATCACAATCAATAGCACCTCATAATTTTCCATCTTCGTTCATCTTCCCCTGTGCATAAACGAGTAGTTATGCACACTCACAAGCGTAAGCTGGACCTGAGGAAACTCCTGACTAACAAAAAACGAACTATTTCTTGATTGAACGCTTGAAATTCAAAAGGTTGAAGTTGTACTTTGACTATTAAATCTACAGACTACCTATAACTAAAAAAGTTTTGAAATCCTGAGTCCACTGAACTGTTGGCATTTCTTCTCAACTTGCGCTACACAAACAAACCAGTATACGCTAGGAAGATTGTAAATGTCTGCTGTGCAGATAATATTGAGGTAAGATGGAAAAAGAACGGATTTGTCGGGCATCATATACACAAACAATGGAGATACTACTTTGCAATATTATGGGGGAAAACCCTAACAACTACAGCAGTAAGCATATAAAGCACTGCGCCTTTGAAACTTTTACCAAAAACACCAACTTAGAACGCTGCAGCTATTTATTTGCTAAAATCCACGCGTCTAGGAATAGAAACATTTAGACTTTAGTTGTGATTTTTCCCGACATAGAGGTTTCGACAGGAAAAACCTTGGTGAAGTGCTCCGGAAAAGGTAACTGACTAAGTATGACGAAGTAATTCTTTCATTCTAGAAGAATCCTCATGATGAAAAAAAGGGATTATAAGTGGAGTGAAATATAAGTAATAACATTTCCCACAACAGTTTTTCTTTAAAACGAATGAAAAACACTTTAGAAATTGTATTTTTCTATTTATCAACTCGTCTGAGCTAACAGTTATACGTACTAGAAAAAATGGTTCAGATAACTGATAGTCATATTTTGTGGTTATAAATCGGAAAAACTCTAGTTTAGTAGGTTGCAGTTAAATATTTCAAACTCAGACCTTGAAATATTCAACCGGTTTTCTTGGTACCGAACGATACAATACTTATGGCTACTTGATATTTGACAACGTGGTATGAAGATCCGGATACTGATTCCAAAGTATTCTGTTAAGTTAGTGTATCAATTATTATTCATTACTCCATTCCATTAACATAATTCTCCAACTGCACATTTTAGCATGGATCTATGCATGGAACGTTATCGGCTGATAATCGGTTGATGGTCGGTACAATATTCGACTACTACTAAGTGGTTGAAAGCTTAAGCTTTAGTGTAACCGAGTCTAGTAATTTGATATTAGGTGATGCTAGTGCGTTAGCTGTTTATGTTTGTCACTCCCTAAAACTGCTTACATCAATTCCACATTGGTCCCTCCGAATCCATCACAGGAACTTCAAAACAACCGGTTTTACTCTGATATAACACTGCACTTTACGTTAGAGGGATAATTTGTTCTCAGACTTATGACTGACTAATTAGAAAAAATGTAGGAACAAACTGTGGGGTCGGATGCAAGGTGAGACGAAAAGAACAGGACTAAATAAAAGACAATATTGCGAAACTCTTTCGTTAGAGCCATACTTAGCTCTACACTTCGTAATGTATCTAGCAATGTGCACATGAAAATGTTGTCTATAAACATTACCTGGTCTCTTAACTACAAAGTAACGTCATGATAACTCAAGGTACTTGGAGGCAGAAAAACGCCTGGTAAGTTTGCAGTTAGTGGCAAATGTCAAGACTCATCTAAAACCGTAAGGTTTCAATTGACTTACTGGCAGCTTCCGATGGAACAAGCTGGCTTTTCAAACCTGTACACTGAACATATAACATCTTCACTGACATCTATAGAAATTTTTTCAGATTTGTTCAATAAACATCGGAGATGGTGTTTCCTGAACCGAAATTTAAATTGTCAAGAGTCGTATTGCACTCACATTACCAACAGCAACAAACCTCGCGCCGACCTTCCAATCCAATATCCAATATTGATAGTGCGAGCGTAGAAAACTGGTAGTTTTTGATCTCTCGCGTCTAGTTCGACCTTCGACCTTTGAAGTCGAAGGCAAGGTTCGAACGGTTGTTGACCGAATAGAAGCTTTTGCTTAACTGTGTTCCACGTCTAGGATCTGTAGATCACCAATTCATGTGGTTTTTAACCTGTGTTAAACCCAGGAGAGAACAAACAGTGGCGGTCACAATCTGAAAATTCAGTTAGTTTTGAGCAGATCCCACCCACATCTCAATTAAGTATCAAGCCTACTTTTAGTGGATTCCGACGAAGTAGCCTGGATCACATATGCATAAAGAGCACTCCAAGATTTAACAGCTCTTAGGGAATAAAAGTTGTGTCTGATATCTAACTTGCCATGTCCTATGATTAGTTTCTATATTTGTCCCCTAGGATTTATGCTACAACTAAGATTCAATAGTGACGGAGTAACTGTCGAGGGGCGATCGAAGTATTTCAGGAATTACAAGGATCCCAATAGTACTGTATATTCCAAAAGACTCATATCCAGCGCAACCAGTCATTCACCAAATGTTTTGGATCTAAGTCCTCTAACAGGATTTGCCGAGCGCCTCAGGATGCGTTCTAGGCTTATTTTGTCCTTCTGCAGAAAAGGAGGGAAGAAAGTAGCCCAGAACTTCAAGTGAGGCCGTGCGAGGCTGTCGCTAGCTTGACGACAGCATCTGTGATCGAACTCCCCGAGAAATTCAACCAAGGATTGCTGACGCCAGTTTCTATCAAATGCTTTTCGAGGAAACTTGGCACCAGGGATCCAAAGCCTATCCACCCGGATTTCCAACTTCACACCTCGTGCTTTAGGAATGTCGAAATATGGTTTTCTGGGTTTTGTACTCGTCTCAACCAGGTAACTTACATGTTCAAAGTGTTCACTTGTTCTCCTGGATCAAGGAAACCTGAAAGACCAGAGATGACCAATCACTCAGTTGGCAAGTGGGCTCTCCATAGGTGATGCAACATTCCACGGCATTCGGGCAACGCTCGACTCCTACAGCACAGATCATATGCACCAAAGGAATCTATATATCTGTCAAACTTTTTGAAAGTATCATGCTTTAACCTGAAAAGATGGCCTCTTTGATGGTGTTTCTGATCAGTGGTCAAAAGCAATTGGTTAAGATGAAGAGAATTTTATGCGACACGGTATACGTGAATCGTGTTCTCTCTTGCCCTTTTTCATTGTACTGGACACTACCTAAGGGCAATTAAATGAGAGGCAAGAGGTCTTGGACGTAGTATAGTCAGTTTCTTTGTAGCTCCTCTCTGAACCCGTTATAGAGTGGCAAATTCCTCCTTCAAGTAAAGCTAAAGAACCAGTGAACATCGGTATAAGTCGGTGAGTGGGAACTTAGGCATGCCGGCAAGCAACAATATAAGACCACTAATGGGAAACTCAGGGATTCACACAGTTCCAAAAGCCATTTAGACGAGGAGCACCACTTACCCAAAAATACCCAGCAGTTGACGCAAAACCCAAAGCCAATGAGTACCTTCCAGGTCGGAGTTGTTTCATCTCATGAATTCAAATCTCTGTCGATATTCAGCAAACATAGGTTTCTCAAGTAACTAGTTGCGAAATGTGTCATTTGCTAATCTTTCCATATCCTTTGCAACTGAAGAGGTCAAGGAGATCGGTCTATATTCAGAGACAAACAGTTTACTTCCACCCTCATATATTCAGACGACATCCCCCCGTTTCCAGTCAGAGGGCAATCTACCTTCTGGAGACGAATGTCTGAGGAGGCTTGCTAGCGAGACAATTACAATACCGGGGCGTTCTGAGCACTCCTTGGTGAGTGCTATGGGTTGCCGAAGGTTTATTAGGATTTAACCTCCTCAAGACTCCACCGACGTTTAGGGGCTCGAATTCCTCAAAACTTAGCCATTGTGCATCATGAGTGACCACATCGTTTGTGGCTGTCCTTTCCGCCTGACAGAGACTATTTTTAGGCTCCTGAGCAAGCAAGTCAGCCCCTCATAGTTGGCGTAGTGAACCACTGGACTAGTGGGAAGTTGTATATTAAACGGGACGCCACCCTTTTCTCATCAGTGAGTGCAACGCTTCGTGATTCCTTTTCAGTATCTTACACGGCTATCTAGTGAATAAATCTTCCACTTCTAGCTTTTACTAAACATCTTGCGAATCTCCTAGTCACTCGTGCTATCAAGAACCCCCTACCAATTACAAGCTCACATGTGAATGTTTCCTGCATCATACTTACAGACACATCCATGAATTCTGGTTTCTCCTTCAAATCTTTTACACAGTTGCTGCTAGCACTTAGTTTTGGGACGAAGTCAGCCGTTGAACCCGAAAGCGCATAGGCACTAGATAAAAGTCAAAGAAAAAGGGTCTGGAGGTGTTGCACCTCTGGGTCACTTCCTAAAAGGCAACTTTTTCTGTTGACTTATTGATACGAAAGTTGATGTGGATTGGGGGTTAATCTGTTTGGTTTCCTTAGTCTCTCGTGCGACCTTCGAGATGGTCTCTGTTTTCTCTGGATTGATATTCTCTTTTGCTACTACCCCTTATTTAATTTGGTGATGCTGTTTCGCTTACTTTCTTTTCTGCATCTTGACAGGAACAGAATCGACATTTAGTCGATACCAGTGTTGTGTCGAAGCTTTTGCGGAATTCAGTTCAGTTGGTTGCTGTCGGATGAAACTCACCCTGCAAATCATTGAGTGGATATAGCTTGCGTTTTCTCGTAATACAACACCCTATGGTACCCTGGGACAGACCTGAATGATTTGGGCCTAACTCTATCGCAGTTAACAGAGAGATACTGTGAGATACATTCATAACAAGTTCATGATCATTTCTATAAGTATCATGCATTGTACATACCGTACTGAGTGGAACGTCCTGTAGTCTCAACGTATCGATTCGACCGATACTAGCGAGATCTAGGTCGTGTTGATCTGTCAGGTGGCACGCCTCCGCACAGCATTGCTTTCTTAGTTCAGCCACACAATCTGCCACCCAATAAGCATTAAACTACCGCCAAATCCGTTGCAGACTGTGTTTCGTAAGTTTGATGAGCAGACATCCAAGTCTTCTTCAAAATTGGAGCGATATCTGATGCGATATCCAACAGAAGCTAGGATTGGGCTCCATTTATCAACAACTCTGTGTGTCGATACTTACTCGCAAGGCTGACTGCGCACGTCGCATAAATACTTCGGATTCAGCTTCTACAAGCCTCAATAAATTTTTGCATGTTGTCCGCTTGAAGCTACTCCTTTTGTAGCGAAATCCCTCTTTATGATCGATTCTATGACAGGGACCGTACTTGTATTTCTTCAAGGGATGGAACTTAACGAAATACCAAAACCATAAACTCAACAACTTTTGGGACACTTGACGGATGGCTTTCAGGCCGAACTGTGTACAGGTTTCATATGTCCCCTGCTCGACTGAACATTATTTACGGACGTCACCGATGGCAGTCCTACGTTCTTTTCCATCTTGGGAGTATCATGCTTCAGGTTCATGAGACGCTGACACCCAGAAGTAACCATCTGCAGGGTGGTTTGTGGGTCTTGTTCGACTTTTGTTGAATATCTGTCCTGAAAATCAACAGTCGTCGGTAACTCAAAACCCGAAACACACAGTAAACACTTGAACTTATCGTCAGTTGGGAGCCATAGTTTGAACCATCCTGTCCGTAAAGTGACCTCCCCCTAATATGTTCTGTTTTCTTGACCAGCTTTTTTCGCTATTTTCAGATACCTGTAACGAATATGAAATAACCATGTTTGTCCGTGGGATGTATTATTCAGAATCTCATTAGCGCCATCCAAGCTCACGTCTCTGGTCTGTTTTGGAGGAGAGAACTCTTGCGGCTAGAGCACATATTGGACCCCGGTTTCTGTAACTGGCTACAGACTTCTGTGGCAGTCGTTTACGGCATATTCAACTCGATTTAAATCCCTAGTTTGTCCAGCCTGTGATTCGAAAATCAGACAATCTTTCACACTTGGGCGAAATTCAGAATTAGACCTGAGAGCGGAACGTAACGCACCGTAATTCATAAATATGAAACAGCCGAGTTTAGTCACGGAAGTGGTGTGGCGCACCATGATGGACTTCCCTGGACGCGCTATAATTTCCGGACTATAAGGCATACATAAGTGGATAAGGAGTCAGTAGAAAGCTTCGAATCGACCGAAACCGCAATTTTACCAAACAAGTCATGGGTATAATGCTTTAAAATAGGTAACATAATTCGACCAATGACATTAATATGGGGTTCACGTTTTCCACTTTCCGGCTGGCATGCCGAATCGGAAAGTAGGTTATTGGTGGAGAAGCAACTGCATTTTGTTGCGGTCGTTTCAAAATAAGTAATGATGACGTAAACCGTCATGCTTTTAGAATTGGGTAACAACCTGACTTCAGTTTTCGCATGGCTTGTGACTTCACAGACTTTGAAGACTGCAAGGTAGTATTTGCCGATCTCAGTAAAGTTGTTATTAAGTGAGGTAGGGACCCGTAAATCACAAACATACCGTGATCTTGTGAATTTAGGAAGGGAGTGCATTATTGTCGCCACGCTTGGTCATCCAAGCTGTGGTGATCTCCATCTGAAATGTCAGTTGGTAGAGTGCGGGTGGGTTCGAACAGAAGAATCAGTTAGCATTTTCGTTGAACCAAGTGGGGCAACGTTGCGGGTAGTGCTGGCTAAAATCGGCCAACCGGGCTAACTACGGCACACATTGGGCTCAGAGTTAGGCCATCAAGCTGACGTGCGGCATGTGTAGCGCACGTAAGTACAAATGTTGTCACCAGCAGTCGGCCCTAGGGCCCGGTCAGTCGGATGGGATGCTAGGTGAAAAAAGATTACACGAGACCAAACGCTGGAATTTCGCACAGGTATTTATATAAGTAATAATGTTTCCGAAATCAAAACAGTTACAAATCATTTACAGAACAAGAT